ATTAAAAAAAATATATGCGGCTGTTATTTCCTCTTCATCGCATACCCTATAATCGGGGTCATCACCATATACTTATGTTGTGAAGGTGATTTCTCAGATGCCAATGATCGGTACGTAGCCCTATTATTCCTTTGGGTATTACCAAGCCTGTGTTCGCAAGTTTTGTTAAGAGTTCTTCAGAGGTTGTGACGGTTATATCTGGCACCTCAAGTGTTCGTCCATTTCTTTAAATTACAGTTTCTGTGCCTGTAGATTGACTTGCAGATCCTCCTCAGGCCAGAGGCTTCAGGTACCTTTGTATGAGCAAACATGATCGGTTAATTGCAACCAATCTATAAAAGAAATTCTGCCAGTTGAAAATGGCTAACATTTTCAGAAAGAGGAAAGTCCTGTCTGTCCATATCGTACACTTTGTAAATATAGAATAAGAGAATTCCTTAACTTTTGTTTAGTTTTAGGTTGGAGTTTATGATCGCATTTATGTTGGAAATTAATTAAAAACAGCAATAGGCAAAAGAACATACATAATTCATTTGGAAATTTTTATCATTCATTTACTCTTCATCCGTATAGTTTACTTTTGTGTGGAAAACAAAATTCTCCGGTATACCTACTACTGTAAAATGTTTATTATGGAATATAAATAGGCTTTTGTGAGGTTATCTTGTCAACATAATCCTGTGTTTCAATTAATTAAGGTTTTTAGTTCCCCTCCTTTTTTGACATTTGACACATGAAAATGGCAAAAAAGGAGGGAAAATTCAAAAGGTGGGGTTGAGATGGGAAGTTGGTGTCCGAGTGGATCGAGGTCACGATAGCTCAAGTGGTAGAGTAGCGCGAATCTAGCCGAAGATCGTGGGTTCGAATTCTGCTCGTGACACTGACTTTTTTATCTCAACTTAAAACCTTAATTAATTGAAAGATATTAATTGGTCAAGCGGACCACGAAAACTAGTGAATTTAATAATCCTGAGTTTTGCCCCATAAATAATTGAATTTTTAAGAAATAAGTCACTTGTGAAAACTTATTTATTTGGGATGAGTGTAATGGTTACGTGCATTCAAATTGTGCTGGTATTTCTGCTTCCGAACTAAAGTATATGACGATAAGCGAGTGCTGAATTTTTTGAGTCAAGACTGTAATGTCGGATTAAACGAATTACTTGTTCTAAAAAAAAATTTAGTAGAATTAAAAAATTATATATCGGCTTAAGGCCTGAATGAAATGAACTCTAGTAACAAAAGAAAAGTTTTAAATTTTATGTGTATTTTTTTTATGTGAAGTTTTGGTGGAAATGAAAAAGCCAGTGTCATGAGCGGGATTCGAACCCACGACCTCCGGCCTTGAAGCTTGACCTATCGTGACAGTGATTAGAGCAGCGGAGTATTAAGCCGAAGGTCGTGGGTTCGAATCCCGCTCGTGACACTGGCTTTTTCATTTCAACCAAAACCTCAAATAAAAAGAATAATTAATTGAAAGAAGTAATTTGGTCAATAGACCACTAAATATAATGGTTTTAAATATACTTAAAGTAATTGGAGAAAATGAATATAATATTGTGACTATTAGAGACTAGGTAAACCTTCTAATTAGACCTTTCAAAATTATTCTTGAGAACAAAATGATAATTTTTAAGGCTTTCAGAAATAAAAATATTGTGATGACCAACGTCAGGATTATGGGGTGGAGACTGGGGTAGAAGTAAACTTACACGGGCAGAGGAAAAATTCAACTTCTGTATTAAGAAATTAATAGCTACAGGAGTGGAGGGCTTACGGGAAACAGGCTCTCCAAACATTACATTCATTCCTATTATATACCCTGGTGGGAGTCTAGGAGGGAATTAGCAATGGTGGGAGTAAAGGGTGTTGGTAATGTCTTATCTTGTGAGTCGGTGCAAGGGGGAAAGCTTTTGAAATAAAATATTTATGAATAATTGGAATAAGGGATATTACAATATGTTAAAACAAGAGGCTTTTTTTCAGCGTGTAATAACTTAAAAAGATTTAACTGTAATGGAACAAGAATTGCTAAACCAACTCAGGAATAAACACAATGAAAAACTCATTAAGGGAAAAGGGACTTTACTATAAAGTACATTAGAGGACATCCTCAAATAGTACTAGTCTTAACTAAGTTACATGTTTTTACCAAAATGTTAATGCAATAAGATCTAAGTTCAGTATCAAAACACTTCTACTGAACCTTTATCACACTGACGCATATGATTCAAACCAACATCGTTCAAAATCGCCAAGGATTGTTTTTGGATTTGGTATTTTTATCTAATAGCGAACTGCCAATTAAACATGCTGTGACTGTTTTTAACACTAAAGGCCCCATTAGAACCCACCATCAGTATTTTGGATAAGACTGAATTAACTCATAAGTTTTGAACAAGACATTTAACTCAAAATCTGCACAAATTGACAAAAGAGTTACTCAGGGATCAATTCTTAGTCTCCTACTTTTTAATTGTTACGTCAAAGACTTCGATCCACTCGGACACTAACTTCCCATAACAAACAATTCACAACTACAAATTAATGATGAACTTAACACGAGTACAGTTTACACACTGGAAAAACTTCATATGAGAAATATGTGCGTATTTTTTTCTTCAAAAGTTCAGAAAAGATGGTAGACCTAACAAAACTGTCGAAATTGATTAATCCTTTCGAATAGACCCTGAACAATCGATTTTTGGGGGAGATATGACATGAAGATGAAAAAATGTTTAGGGATAGTTAGCGATATTGAATTTTAAAATAAATCAAGTTATTTTCATTTAAGCTGTGTGGTCGTATAAAAGAACCATGTTTTGGTGAAAGTTCAACGACTGCATCTTCTGTATTCACTAAACAAAAGTTCTGCTAACTTTGTTACGCGGGTGTTTTGACTTGTTCGTTATGTTTTCCTCTTTCTATCTTGTAATTGAGAGTATTGACAAACTGAATGATAAATAAATAAAAAAATTTTAATAGGTCCTACGAGGCCTTCTCTTCTGGTCATCAGATACCTGTATCGACTAATTTTGTGTCAAATTGCTGAAAATGACATAGTAACCAATGTAATCTGAAACAAAATTTTCAGTATTTTTCAAAGATCTTTAATCTCTATGCATAAATATTTAATTTCTACAGCTAATATGCAGTTAACTGCTTGAATTTATGTAATACCTGCAAACTCGGAAGTTATACCAAATGTCTTTTATTGTTTTGATCATTTATTTTAGTCTTTATCTAGAAAATAATATAATTTTTGCATGTTAGTGTACATATAATTATTTACAGACTATTTGAACTCAAAAACTTCATGTTATTTTTTTACAGGAAAGAACGCTGATACGACAAGCTCCTGGATGATCTGGACTGATTTCAACGCCAAAAATAACAGGTAACATGGTGGAAAAATGTTACAAATTTGAAAAACAACACATTTAAAACACGCCAGAGCTTTTACAAACTAATTAAACCAGGAGGGTGTTTGGACTCAATTAGGCTCAGAAATGTCTGTCATCAATGATAATATCGATGTACAAAAATAGAATGTTTTGCTAGCTCGTGCTACGCAATGGCTTTAACTGATTTTCCACGACGAACTTTTACAATTTCAAGTCCGCAATTTGTTTACACATGGGTCTGTACACAAATGCGTATTACAGACCAAGACAACAGTGAGCTTTCATTTGTCCGGACTATACAATGGGCGAGACATCGTCGAAACAGAAAACCCGGGTCAGAACTCAAAGGTAACAATCAAAACTTTCTAAAGAACTAAAATTGTAACAGGTTTAAAATTAGAACTGAAGATTTGATGAATGGTGGAGTGAGTGCGGTGTTCAACCCTTTTTAAAAAGATAGTTCCTACCTACTCAAAGTAAGTTGTTTTCCAATGATCCGGATTTCGAGCTTTCAGCTCATCATCAGGTTGAAGGAGTTCTACAACCTCGTCTATCGACATGAATTGCCAAAATTAAATAATTGATTTGTAGCAAATGGACCTTCCTAGAAGAAATGTACGAGGTGAAGCGGGCCATAGATGGTCTACTGCTAATATGTCAAACAAACCGACGCTTTAAACCTTACTCAATTAAATTAGTTTTTTACTCGAACTTTCACCCCGAAGTGCTGACCCCTAGGTTCTATACATCAGGGAGTTCACCAACTCCGTTATGTGGCAGAGTCGCTGGTCTCTCCCTTAAGCCAGATGCCCAGATGGACAGCTAGGATATTTCAGCCCCAAACCCATGCAAATTATAATCTAGCCTAATACTAATAAAATTAGGTCAGTCGCACAAACAAATACATTCAAGCATTGCACACATTCTGATTAATCAGTGTAGTATGGGATACTCCGCCATCGACCCTAAACAAATACACTGCTGTTCACTCACACTGATAAATACAAGCATTCAAACAAAGCACATACGCTATACCTACATACATTCAAAAAAATATCAAAAACGGAACAGGGGACCCAGAAACCCAGACTGCTGGGCTCGAGAATCATTCATAAATCCGGCGACATGCCTACACGCTCTCTGTACGGAGCCAAGGAGACGACACAACACACGACTCAATTATGTGTGACTTTTTTGTATTCATTTAATTTTTACCATATCTATCTTCTATTATCTTTGTTTTTTCTGAGAATAATTTATGTTGTAGTTGGGGTTTATTTTATGCCTTATATCATCTTCCTCATGTTTTTATAAATATTTTTCATGACAATTAGTGTATTACACTAACTTATTATTAAAATCAAAGCACATGGTTAATATTTTACTAAATATGCCAAAAGATCAGGTAGAAATCTTTACCAATTTCAATAAAAATCAATTTTAAAAGGTTAATTAGGCGTTCAAATTTAAATGCTATTGTTATCTATTAATAATACATATTATTAATATAATACTCGACTGCAATTCATATGAGCTCTTCCTTGAGGCCCTCAGGATATGGCTAGGCCAATTCTTGCGGGTGGCGGTTGTTTACTTCTTCGGTAGACAAATAATATACCCTGGAGGAAATTTCAAATTCCATCGGGGGATGTTCGCGTTATGGGGGGTATATAAGAGCTGGCACGTGTCCACTCTTCAGCAGTTTCACACACATCAACGAGAATGGTAAGATGAAAAAAAACTGTAGAACTTTTAGGAAATCAATTGCACTATAGTTTTCAGTGATTTTTGGAGTTTTTATTTAGCCTAATTACCCTTATCTGTTTATCCCAGTCAGCAGGCATTACGGTTGGGCAGCAAACGCTGAAAAAATCTTATACATAACACAATTTAGCTTGTGACAAATTACTAGAATAGAAAAAGCGGATCTTAAATTATTTTTTAATTTCACTATGATCGGAGATAGGCAAACAGAGGAGAACAGCACCGTATGCCGCTCGTCTGTTATGCAATTCAATCTATTAAACAATACTTTACCCTCGACTGATTTCATTCTAGTCCCACCCAACTAAATGAAAAACAGTTAATAGAAGTTAGACTCCAAGGGTACAAAACCAAGTGTTATATGTATTGTCTTATTTAGTGCGATATTGACCATCATCCTAATTATCGAAGGAATATGATTTTTTATTTGAAATTATTAATTTTTTTGCAGAGGTGGATCGTGATGTGGGCCTGTCTGGCCCTTTGTGGAATAAAAGCTGAGCCTCGTTTTTATAGACAGTCCAAACGTGAAGTTCCAATGTCGCAAGAGCCCGATGAAGGATATGTAGGGGAAGGAGGTCCGTACCCGCCGGCTTTAGGACCGTATCCTCCTCCAGTGGTACCCGAGGTACAAAATTCGCCACCACCGTCTGAGGATGATTTTGAGCCGCAGTCGGAACCAGATGCTGGGCCATACCCGCCAGCGGCTCCTCCTCCACCGCCACCACCGCCGCCAGCACCTGCTCCAGAATATGGGCCACCAGCTCCATATCCACCGGCTCCTCCACCACCTCCTCCACCACCGCCGCCACCAGCACCTGCTCCAGAATATGGACCACNCCGCCACCACCACCACCAGCCCCAGCTCCAGAGTATGGACTACCAGCACCACCACCACCACCGCCACCTCCCCCTCCTCCGCCACCACCACCACCACCAGCCCCAGCTCCAGAATATGGACTACCAGCACCTCCACCTCCTCCACCACCACCAGCCCCAGCTCCAGAATATGGACTACCAGCACCTCCACCACCTCCACCTCCCCCTCCTCCTCCACCACCAGCCCCAGCTCCAGAATATGGCCTCCCTCCAGTCAAATTTGAAACAGCACCTCCAAAACCTGCTACTGTATATGGATTTCCTGGAGGGTTATAAATTATTAATAAAGAATTTAGGCCAACTGTCTACTGTGCAAACTTTTATTACATAAAATCTGTACAAAGTTCTCATTTTGGTATTTTAATCTATATTTTATAAATAAAAGAATTTTTAATTTTTTAATTCACTCTTTTTTAACCTTGAATCCCAATTCATTTACATATCATTTTAATAAACGATTAATTACTTGTTTGTCAGTATTGATAAAAATGTAAACATTAAAAAATCCACACTGATTTAATGGAAGTATTAAAATAATTTTTGAAATTCAAGGTGAAAGAATTAATTTTTTAAAAATCTAAACATAGGTAATAATAATAAATATTTTCTATTATAAGATCATTTAAATCAATTGGGTCTCTTATTTCCTGGTTATGATTGTCCATTTTTCGTTGTAAATAATACTTGTACAGGGCTGTCAGGCTTGCAAATAAGTGGTGTCACAACTCCAAGCTTTGCACCCAGCCATTTTAAGTTATATTTATTACCAATCTAAAATTAGTAAATTATAGATTTATTTTTTAACAATTCAGTAAAGACATACCTTTAGTATAAATGTCAGTAAGTTCTGTTCTGCGAGTCTTCTAGCGATGCATGTCCTGGTTCCATGGCTGAACGGTAAAATGAGGAATGGTGACACAAATGTGTACTCCTCAGATCCTTTTACCCAACGTTCAGGAATAAAAGAATTTGCATTTTTAAAATGTTTTTCCTGCCGGCACGCAACCCAATTCTGTGTAAAAACTACTGTCTGTTAGAGAAAAGAAAAAAAAATTTATAAATGTATCAACATTTTAATTGTAACATATTGTTAACCTCTCTTGGAACCAAGAACCCTCCGAGAATTGTATCATTGTCAAGGATTCTACTGATACCAATTGCAATCGGATTGAGCCTCAGACTTTCCTTAAGGACAGCACGTGCATAGTTAGCCTCATTTAAAATTTCTGATGTGATTGGAGAATTATTACATAGCCTAGAAGCTTCTTCGTTTAACCTCCTTTGTGCTCTTTCGTTATTGGCTAGATGGTAAACAATAAAGCTGGATGTATATGAAGTCTGCAATGTTTAATAAAACAGAAATGAAATATTACAAATTAATGTTCTTCCTTATACCAAAAATAATAGTTACAGTGTCAACTCCGCCAAGAATTAAATCAACTACCATCCCGAAAACATCTTTAAAGTCAATAGCAGGGTTTTCAAAATATTGTTCAATTAAACATTTTTCCTCATTTACATCACATTTTTTATTCATAACACGATCATGAGTTTTCTTCAATTGAGGATAAATTGTCCTGTAATCTATTTCATGTAAATCTTTCTATAAAACAACTATAAATTATCTTTATAAATACTTTTCAATAAAATCAAAAGCCTCCTCCATTTGCTTGTAAGGTTTTGTTTTAACTATTTTCCAAAAAGTTTCAGTACTGTCTGTTGCAATAATGATATGGTTTACTAGTTCAGCTTTTGACATTAAACGAGAAGGAATTGAGTCTGGATGCAAATTTTTGTCCTCAAAAGCACCAAGTCGTTCCCCAAACAACAGCATCCACGTTACTATAATAAAATGTTATTATATTTAATAATATAATCACTTAAATAAAACAATGTAATGATTACATTCAATATTGAGACGAGATATTTCGCTGAGAAAATTGTTATTAGGTACTCCAGGCTTTACAAACTTATCGAAAAATTCATCAAAAATCTCTTCATTTTTGGGTATTAATGCTCTGACTGCTTTGATTTTGCTCAAGGATTTTTGGAAGTTGCTCCTTATCCTCCACCACTCACTGCCATTCCTAAAAAAATAAAACTTTGCGAAATAAAATAATCATAAAAGGTTATTATAAAACTCACACAGGGAGCAAGCCGCCCGTATTGTATAAGTGAGGCCTGGCTTCCCTATAGTGCTGCAAGGCAAGGTGACTTCGTCTCGATGGAAACTTTCCTTCATTTTTGTACACCATTTCAATGTCTTCGGGTTCGAAAACGTTAACGATGAAAATTCCTGAGCCGAACTCTTCACGTACAACACTACCGTATTGTTTGAGTTTCATAAATCCAACATCAGTCAACTTGTTAAAGTCATAATCCCCTGTTGGCACACCATAAATTAACATTATTTCTTGTCTGACCCAAATATTCAGGCCTCTTAGATAGTTGTTTGCCACAAGCTCAAAATTCTAAGTAATTTCTATGATCTCAACATTAATCAAACCTTCACCTTCTACCAGAGACTTTCATGGGATCAACAACTAAACAAATTCACAAAGAGCAAAGATTGCTATTGGCAGATGCAAACACCGATGTGGGAAAAGGTGGGGACTCAACCTAAAGGTGTTCCTATGGCTTTACACAGCGGTTGTTAGACCCATGATACCCTAGGGATCAGTGGTTTGGTGGACTAAGACATTAGAGCTAAGGGCAGTTCAGATCCAGTATTGTTCAGAGACTGGAGTGTCTGAGCAGCACTTGGGCAATGAGAACACTTTGCCAACATCTGCCCTGGAAGTCCTTCTGAGTCTACCGACACTACACATCTTTATCCAGGAAGAGGCCAGACAATTCAATGGCTATTGCAAGGACAGGCTCCAATAGCTTACTCACATAACAAGGAGCAACTCTAGGGGAGCTTCAGCTAGTCAGAACTTTGGGGATGCCTATTGCCTACTAATGCCATGTCCCCTAAATTGTTTTGAGAAATTTTTTTTATCAAAATACTTTGTAGAGCAGACTGGTAGAAAAGGATCCCAGTTAATGCTGACAGTATCTGGTTTACAAACCGAATATAGATCAGGAGCTGGCATGTATGGACATAAAGTAAGCACTATAATTCATATAAGCCTTGGACAATAGCCACTGTTTTTCAAGCGGACTCGGATAGCCAGGCGGCGCTGAAGGCAATTGTTGCATCAGCAGTAAAGTCTAGAATCGATTGGGCCTGCCCTGTCAGACATTGTAGAAAATAACAAAATTACCCTTGTCTGCGTGCCAGGGCAGAGGGACAACAGAAAGGCTGATAAATTGGCCAAGGAGTTCAATGACACCTATTGGCCCTGAACCCTTTTGTGGCTTACCAAACTGCAAAAACGTATATCCATTAGACAATGGATTACAAATAAATCCTCCATTCAATTGTAATGTAGTCTGGTACAAAGGCATACAGAGAAGTTTATCAAAGCACCATCTCAGAAACTAACAATAGAACTACTAAATCTAGGAAGTGCTAGGACTGGAATATTAGTTACATTGCTGACTGCACACTGCAGACTCCAGAAGCATATGTACAGACTCAGAGTGGCAAAAATAAGCCAGTGTGGATAAAAAAATGGAGATGCACAATAGACCAATACTGGTCATGGTGTAGCCTAGTACACACTGAGATTCTTTGAATCGATTCATGTTGCAGGGCAGAGTCAGGGCTGCGTAGATTCATTGTTGCGATGCAGTTCCGACTCTTTTATCGGAGAGTCCTTCAATGTCACCCTATTTATGGATAAGAATTACTAGTGCATGCCTTATCACAGCAGGGAAGACGCCCTTGGAACGGATAAGTTGAACAAATAGGTGAGGTGTTTATATTATACAATCAATTCTGCTCTTTATGAGCAAAGTAGTGCTGTTATTGTTAACCTGACTGATAAAATTTTCTTTACAGTTACATGCATGAAATAGAAATATTCAACTTGAATTCTAATAGTTTAAAGTAAAATGACAAGTCAAGGATTGCTCGTTAAAGCGATTGATGAACAATTCTGCATGTCTATATTGTTTTTGATGGAGTTAATCATGTTATTCTTTATTGAATTACTATATTCATATTAATATCAGTGCTGTTTCTTTCTGCAAATTCATATAATTTTGAGATAAGCAAATTGTTGAACTTAAAAGTTTGCCGTGTTTATTGAGAGTAGGCAGACCTCAAGCTCAAACTGCATGTATGATTAATTTTTATTTTGAATTGTAGAGAACAGATGAAAAATTGTAACTCCAGAGTGTTTAAAATACATTTATAATACTTAAAACTGTGACATGCATTTTGAATGCTTACTACAATGTTATATTTTTGCCAGATTAATCTATAATAGTTTATTTTATTTTATAATACTTTTTTATCTCAACTAAAAACATTAATTAATTGAAAGATATTAATTGGCCAAGCGGACTACGAAACTAGCGTTTTTTTAAATTTTGGTGTTTATTACCTGGCGTTGAAAATCAAATTATCTCAGGTTTCATTATTTTATGGAGTTTTTCTAGCCAAAACTACAGAAATAATGAGAAATGAGAAATTTAATTTTTCATGTTTTGGGAAGTAACACATCCTCTCATCAGAACAATTACACAAACATAATAAAAAGTACAATTTAATATCAAGATCAATATATTTTTTGAATTTCAATTAATTAAGGTTTTTAGTTGAGATAAAAAAAGTCAGTGTCAAGAGTGGGATTTGAACCCATGACCTTTGGCTAGATACGCCGCTATTCTACCACTTGAGCTATCTTGACTTCAATCCACTTGAAGAAAAATGGTGAAAAGAAGGGAAAATTGAAAAGGTGGGGTTGAGATGGGAGATTAGTGTCCGAGTGGATCGAAGCCACGACAGCTCAAGTGGTAGAGTAACGGCGTATCTAGCCGAAGGTCGTGGGTTTGAATCCCGCTCGTGACACTGACTTTTTTATCTCAACTAAAAACATTAATTAATTGAAAGATATTAATTGGCCAAGCGGACTACGAAACTAGCGAATATTTTTTGAATATTAATTTAACAATTTAATTTTTATAGGATTTTGTTTTAGAGGATATATCAAACTATTGTGATAAATGGAAAAGTGGAGATAAACCCTTCAAAGTGCAAAGCAAAAATCTTTACCTTGCGACCGACCAACCTTACAAATCGAATCCTGGAAGAAGGTGACTGAAGGGTATGCTCGTCTGGGTATAACTATATTCTATTGTAAACAGTAAATCCAAGATAAAGCCCAAACTTGCTTTGCTAATTTATTATCTTATTATTTTTTTTAATTATCTTCATCCAAAATAAAGCAACTGCGAATATTCAAAAATAAAATAGCACAAATGGCAATAAATTGTAATGGTGGTGAGGAACAACCAGATACGCAAAGAACAATTCCCGACAAGATGGCCATTCACAAGCGATTCGACAAGTGCTATTCCGGATTTAGTAAAGTCAAAGGTGCACTTCAAACTAGGAGGAAAAAAGTTATCTGATGAGAGAAATGTGTTTAATAACGGATGGTGTTAGGGTTGAGTTGTAGTTGTTGATTATGTGTTTAGGGTAGTGATTGTTATTGAGGATCTGTTTATCTTTATGTTCTTGTGGTGAAATGATTCATGGCTTAGGGTAATATTATTGTATGAAGAGGATGGTGAGATGTAAAGTTGAGGTAGCGATCTGTGTTTCTTGGTTTTTGATACCAATCTGTGATTAATGTGCCATCTGGTTGTTTTATTATGAGTGTATCTAAAAATAGTATTTTTTTGTTGTTTTCGATTTCATGTGTAAATTGTAGGCGTATTAAATATATCTAATGTAGTTTGAATTTAATCTGTGTGAGCTGTTGTCTGTATATCATCTATGTATTTAGTGAGGAAGGGTAATGTGAAAGGAAATTGTGGCATGTGTTTAATAGATGTGTCATAATTAAGTCTGCAAGTAACGAGCCTAGGTTGCTACCCATGGCTATGGCGAAATGGTTGTTTGTAAAATTGATTGTTGAAAATAATATCCTTTAGTACAGCAGTGTCAAATCATTGTTATGAATGTGTTCTTTGATAGACTTGTGTGTGGTGTTATGTTTAATGTTTTTTTTTTTTTTTTTTTTTTTTTTGCCTTATGATCTTTGCATATTAGCCACTGTTAATGTTCACTGTTATGTCTATTGGAAGGGACATGAGAGAGTAGTGTGAGGGGATGTGAATATTATTAATTTTTTACAATTAATTAAGGTTTTTAGTTGAGATGAAAAAAAGTTTTTTTCATGGCACGAGAGGGATTTGAACCCACGACCTTCGGCTAGATACGCCGCTGCTCTACCACCTGAGCTATCGTGACCTAGATCCACTCGGACATCAACTCTCCATCTCAACCCCACCTTATGAGTTTTCCCTCCTTTTGCCATTTTTCAATTATTAATTAATTGTAAAGTATTAATTGGTCAAGTGGACCACGAAATTAGTGAATTTAAGGAATTACTAATCTTGTTAATGAAATGAATCTTTTACGTTATATGTGTTATCTGTGATGTTGAGTATGTTTGTTAGGTATTTTGTCATGTTATACATAGGGGAATTTACAAATGAAATATGGGTCTTAGAGGGTGTTCAGGTTTATGTGTTTTTACAGATCCGTATAGTTTCGGGAGCATTGGTGAGTTGTTTTGAAGTGATTTGTAGATGTCTATGTTGATGTTTTCTTATATTTCGACCTCAACAGTTAAACTTATGATTTTTCCTTCTTGAAGGTGGGATAATAGGTCATCTCAAAAAAACCACAACCAGTTTTTATCCACATTTAACGCCTGTACACAGAACATGTTCTGTTAACTCACCTGAGGAAGGATTAAAATAAATCCGAAAAGTTGTGGATAAAAACTGGTTGAGGTTTTTTTGAGATGACCTATTATCCTACATTCAAGAAGGAAAAATCATAAGGTGTCTATAGCCGAAGGTCATGGGTTCGAATCCCGCTCTTGACACTGACTTTTTTTATCTTAACTAAAAACCTTAATTAATTGAAAAAGTTTCGATTTTTATTGAAATCATCTTCAGGGCTCAAAGTGTTTTCTGTGTAGATGTGTCATTCTCGTGTTTTTTTGTTTAAGCGTTTCTTGCAGAATTTCGTTCGTCTGTTTGATGAGAGAAGGGGTAGGGTCTGTTTTAATTGTGCTGTATGTGTTTGTGTCATTGATAAGTTTGTTAATTTTTTCCCTGTACTCTTTTTTGCTGATTGCTACTGTTTGTTTTGTTTTATCAGCACAAAGAATGAGTAGGTCAGGATTATTTTTGAGAAAATTTTTGGTTTTGGTGTGTGTTTGTTGAGATATGTTGTGTTGATTTGTAGTGAGGTGTTGAAAGTGATTTGTTATTATGTTAATGCATTTTGATTGTGCCTTTTTCTTCTTCTGATTTTGTGGACTTTTGGATTGCATACTCTATAAAAATTTTTTTTTGCATTGTATAAGTTCACTTTTTTTCACATCCTATATGTATTTGTTAAGTTTAAACAATGTTTGTAAATCCCAGGCCCTGAAGATGATCTCAATAAATGTCGAAACGTTGGCACGATAAAGAAAATGTTTTTCTGAAATCTACGTCACACCAGATTGCAGCTCACGATTTCAAATAATCAATTAAAATTACAATTTCTCTCCTAGTAAACACTATGATAAATACAAGTTGCCAATCTGATGTTTCAAATTGCTAAATGTTTAATATTTCTTACATGCACTAATATAAAACTCTTTGTTTGTAATTGGGTTAGAGAGTTTAATTTAAAAATAATAGTAATAATTGTTTTGTTATAAAAACAAAAAAATTACACATTTTTTAATACTGGTCAAATTTGTCTGATGAGAGGAACTGTTACTTTGTGAAAAGTGTAAAATTAAATTAAAAAAATACTGTAACAGATGTAAGTTATTGTTCTTTTTACTTTATTGGCTGGAAAAACTTCATAAAATAGTGAAGCCAGAAATAATTTTATTATGTAGAATCTAATGTAGTAATATTACTTACCTATATAAGGAAAATATTTCCATAATGTTCCTAACAAAGGCACCCTTTTAGGGCCTGGCATTTGATCAAACGGTTTAACTGCCGTAGAGGAAAAACGCCTCAAAATAGAAAACCGGATCATTCTAATGAATGACATCTTGTTTGTACAGTGGTCGAGATAACAATAGCCGGTCTTGCAAACCACTTCGATTATGTAAACTGATACAGCAGCTTAAAGAGCCGACCAATGGGATCTGGTAATTTCTCTCATAAATAAACATGAGCTCAAGGTTTGATCAAAACGAATAAATACATATCACAGCACTGTATTTAACCAAGTGATGCATTACAATAACAAATTATATTTACAATACATGGATTGAAAAAACATAACAGAAATTGGAAACAATTCAGAGACTGTAGAAAACAAATGGGTCACAGTAGGTTGACCTTGTACCCACATTCACTTTGGAGAAGAATGGAGATCAATACTGAGTATGAAATCTCAATCAAAATTGAAATAAAAAATAATTTAATATATTTGCAAAAAATGTATGTAAACTTTACAATTGGAAAATAAATTTGTGGCATTTCATAATTGTGATGTGACAATTTTTCAGGAACAAATGTACAATCTGAACAGTTTAATTGCAAGCCTTGCCAAAAACTCATTCCTTACAGTTAAGAAAATATATTCAATTTGTATGTATATAGATTTTAAGTTAAATTATTTACACAGAAACTTAAAAAAATTAAATCCTCAATTGTAAACTAATGCAACTCTCCATACTTCACTTTTTATCTGAGAATTTAAAACCACAGTTGTCAAGTTTCTTCGTTTTTAATCGCTCTTAAACGAGATTCAATCCTTTCAAACCCAAGTCTGAAAAAAGGTTAAAATTAAATTATCTAAAAGAAGTTAAGACAGAATTAAGTAAAAAAGAAAGACACACTGAAGATAGAAAATGCGTCTGACAGGCTAATCAAGCGAGAATGGGCTTAATTAAGTACTGTGAAAATTAATGCAAAATAAAACTTCTTCTTAAGTAAGCTTTTTTATCAAAAGACTGTATTTCAAAAGCAAAAACTAAATAGTTAATTTTCATTGTACAAGAAAGTGATCAACGATGTTGACATTGCCACGTACCTTGTTCATTTTCATAAAAAATTAATTTTAATGCTTGTTTTTTATGTGAAAATGTAAAAGATAAAATAAAATTTAAAAAAAGGCCCAAAACCCAAAGATGGATTGCATTGGATCATAAAGTCTGTAGCATTTTTTTTATGGTAAATTAAACGATTTAAGGAATATGTGAACTAATTTAAACCAAATATACAAACTTTTATGTTCCGCCGATTCAAACTGTTAATCCAACTATCTAAATAGTAGAACTAATCAATAGTTATAATTTGCCCAACAAAGATTTACTTTCCACTCCGAAAGTGACAGGCGTGTGTGTAATTTAGAGCTAGAATCATAATTAATTTGAATTATTACTGCTTGATCCTTATTGATTATAAAATTCCGTTTATAAATCCTAATTTTAACAAAAAGTAACCCACTACCAGCTCCTATATAACTGCATCTTGACCTGACATTTTTCTTATAAAAAAAGTAGAGAAATAGTCTAATTAATACAACCATCGAAAGAAGTATACAAACAATAAAATAAGTAAAATTTCTCGTGGATGATCGATTAAAGAGCAGGTTTCTCTGGTAAGATTAAACTACCACTAAATCCTTTTAATTTCAAGATTATATAACTAATAAGGTAAGCTTAAGTTACAAAAAACCTTATTTACTAAAATCTTAATTATAATTGAAATTTCATCCAATGAATTATAATCATAGACTCAATCTTTTAAATAAATTCAATTAATTAAGGTTTTTTAGTTGAGATAAAAAAGTTAGTGTCACAAGCGGGATTCGAACCCACGACCTTAGGCTTGTTACGTCGATACTTACCACTTGAGCTATCGTGACTTCGATCCACTCGGGCACTAACCTTCCATCTCAACCCCACCTTTTTTAATTTTCCCTCCTTTTTGCCATTTGAAATGATGGCTTTTAAATAAAATTATTACCAAAATAATTAACTAGGCCTTAACGAAGAACCGCAACTGCTGGCACAAAACTGGTCAGACCTAATTAATTAAATCTTATTTTTGTAAAAGTTTGATTATAAAAATTGCGATTAAATAATAGCCACTTTTTTTTTTTTTAGAGAAAGTTCAGAACAAGCTAAAGCAACGGTTTTCGAACTTTTTTTGTTTCTAGCCTGCTTAATATATCAAAATTATTCCGTAGCGCTCAAGTCAAAACAATAATCTATCTCAGTGTGAACTTGGGGAAATAGTAGTAGTAATTCATTTCCAATTCAGAAAAGCTAACTCTTAATCTTAAAAATCTAAATTTCTTATTTTGTCTGCAATTTTATTTAATAAATAACTCTTGACTTTCTTGTGAAATTGAAAAACTTGCCTTTTGAAAAGCGATTCCGCACTTAATAGCAAAAATATAAAAGTGAATACTTTTTTTTTTGACAATAATAGAAAATACACAATTGCAGCTGTCTCGCTAATATCCATATTGAGATTGGATGGCCATCAGTGTCTCAGTTTTCAGGGTTTTATAAAGGGGGGTTTAGTTTATAAGGTTTTTTTTATCAATATGAAAATAATATTTTTTATAGGAAATTTTCACAGCGTCCTTGTGGCACAGCTGTGGCTGGCGGAGCACAATTTGCCAATCACTGAGCTAAAGCATATATGTATAATTATTCTTTTTACATAAGGTTTTGGTTGAAATGAAAAAGTTAGTGCACGAGCAGGATTCAAACCCATGAAAGTTAAAATGAAGTATACTTCACTAAAGCTCTCGTGCGATTTAAATTGTTGTCAAGAATCAAATAAATTAAACGACATTTGAAAAATGGCAAAAAGGAGAGAAAATTCAAAAGGTGGTGTTGAAATGATTTGAAACTTCTTTCAAGTATGCGATTAGCTCACTCCACAGTTTTTCAACAAACATTATCATCTCATGTTCTGAAATAAATAAGTATATATTTGCTGAAAAATGTAGTTAAGTTTACAAATTACTTTTCAATTAATTACGGTTTGGTTGAGATAAAAAAGTCAGTGTCACAAGCGGGATTTGAACCCACGACCTTCGGCTAAATACGCCGTTGCTCTACCACTTGAGCTATCGTGTCTTCGATCCACTCGGACAAATAGATTACACGACATTTGAAAAATGGCAAAAAAGAGGAAAATTCAAGAGGTGGGGTTGAGATGGGAAGTTAGTGCCTGAGTGGATTGAAGTTACGATAGCTCAAGTGGTAGAGTAGCAGCATATCTAGCCAAAGGTCGTGGGCTCGAATCCCGCTCGTGACTTGACTTTTTTATTTCAACTAAAAACCTGATTTAATTGAAAGATATTAATTGGTTAATCGGACCATGAAAACTAGTGAATTGAATAAGTTAAAATGAAGTATATCTTCACTATAGCTCTCTGTGGCCATTTCATTTGTCGCTGAGAATCAAATACACATTTGAAAAATGGCAAAAAGGAGAGAAAATTCAAAACGTGGGTTGGGATGGGAAGTTAATGTCCGAGTGGATTGAAGTCACAATAGTCAAGTGGTAGAGCAGCGGCGTATTTAGCCAAAGGTCGTGGGTTCGAATCCCGCTTGTGACATTGACTTTTTTATCTCACCTAAAAACCTTATTTAATTGAAAGATATTAATTGGTCAATCGGACTATGAAAACTAGTGAATTGAATACTTCATTTGTTTAACAATTTAAATTTTATTGTGTGTTATTCCTTGATTCTGTAATAATTATCCATTATAATATTAATTTACATTTTGTTTTCAGAAATAAAACATTATATTTGAAAATGAACATGTGTGCCCTGGTTTGGGATCATTTCAGCCCAGACTTGCTCGGTTTGGCCTGCAGTGCTTAAATATTCTCTTACCTTAAAGTTTTATCATAGCCAACACCTCGTTTCTTTTCTACTTCTTTTATAATTTCAAGGAGATGAGGAAGGAAGCGGGACGTGAGATCAGGGGCTTCTGAGGAGAGGAAAACGACGAGTTCAAATAGTTGACGAGACGACCAGGCAAGGTGTTCATTCGCCAATGAAGTGAGAAGCCGGACGATGTCATCCCTGTGAAAATCCACCAATTATTCAAGGATATTGTGAAAATGTTTTGTTTCAATACATACATCAAAAAGTTTCCTTTTCTGATTGAACTGCTGTTTAAAAACAGCCTTAGGATATCCTTGGCGGCAGAGTGCACCTGGCTTTTATCATCACAGAACATAAATATATCACACATACGGTCGAAAGTCAAGCGTAGAACGTTTTTTACAATTTCAGGCGAGTTGGTAAATGCTGTGAACAATTCCTCTAAAAACTTCAATGCCTGGGGAAAAATAAAAATTATCAAACAAATCTTAACATGAGAAAAACTAGTCTCTTACATATAACGCCTGGTTGTGAGGATTTCGAGATTTTTTCCTTAGAAAATTACCACACACAGTTTCCAAAATAAAACACTGGGACCTTTCTTCAAAATCGCCGAACTGGGAGATAAGAGAGAAATCGGTGAAATTAAACATTTGGTGGATTTGCACACACCTGGGTATATAAATTGTTAGAAGCTCTTTGATCGTCCTCATAATATAATGATCCTGATCTGGAACTGAACATTTAAAAATATAATTAGCATTTATTATCTTAATTTTTTTTTCAGGATGAACAGAGATGCTCATCAACTCTGATGATCCAGATCTGCCTTTTATTGCTGGGTTTGTCTGTCAAGCGCAATCAATTAGAAATTTAAAGTGGATTTAAACTGCAATCTACAGGGTGTCCCATAGATAGTGCGAAAATTTTTAAAATATTTTTTTTAAATAATTGTTTATAATTTTTTTATTATATATAATAATTTTTTGTAGACCCTACAATTCCAACATATAGTCCCTATCTATGTATTTACCTATCTTCAATCTATGATGTTAACAATTGTTAGTTTTTCCATTGATGTTACATTACTTGAGAAAAACACAAATCTCATGGCTATTAAATTAGATTTATACTATTTTCATCTGAAGTAATTTTCAATTAAGGACCTTAATAAATGTTCAAATTTGAAAAATACTACAAAGTTTGGTTTTTAAGAAATAATGTATAAATAGGTATGCCCTAATATTTAATTAGTTATCTGTTTATTATTAATTTTATTTCTAATTTTTATGCAAAGACGGTTGAAAAGAAAAATTAGTGACACGAGCCGGAGTCGAACCCACGACCTTCGGCTCAATTCGCTGGTGCTGTCAATACTTTTAAATAATTAAGTTTGACCCTAGAAATTGTCAATCTTCACGAAAAGTTTATTATTTAATACACTTTCAAATGGTATAAGAACATCCATAACCCCTCCTTATTAAAGTAGACTAGTTGTGTATCAATTGTTGAAGGGGTTCAAAGACCAACCCCGCTTCCAAGTAGTGAACCCCGGGAAACGTTCGTCGCCGTTCTGACGGGGGGATTCATATTGATCCCCACGGCATGGTACGGTGCGAAAAGGCTAAAGGGGCTCTGGTGTCCTATCCCCAAGTGAGGTACTCACTTTCCTAACCACTCCTCACTAAATAGACTCCTATCACCAACCCCTCTCCCTCTATCCTATCAGTCCCCTAAGAAGAGTCTTGGGCTTGACAGAAAACAGCATCCGCCCCAATCAAAGGTGTCATGCGTTCCGTGCCGAGTGATTCACTGGCAGCCGGGGTTAATGTGGCTGTCTTGAACGGAGCCTCTCTGACACCGGGCGACATCAGAGAGTATTTAGCCTTACTCCATCATGCGGGGCTCTGATGGAGTGGACCTTATAGTTCCCTAGCTACTCGTGGGATTTCAATGAGCAAAGTAAACGAAAAACATAACCCAGAGCAGGATTCCACTGCTCCAAACCCAATTAGTAATCTGGGAACCAACCCCCAGATGGACACTCAGTCCTCAGAAGCAAAGGAGAGACCACCTCTCCCTTCCAAAAATAAATTTCAGTCGCTACGTGGGAAATTAAACACCACTCAAACGAAAGGTTCACTACCTTCAAGTAGCGACACTAGAAGATACAGACCTCCTCTTGGGAAACCAAAAGGTAAGAAAAAAGCCTCCGCCGAACTACCAAAGCTGGGAGAACCAGGCGGAAAAGACGACCCTCTCAGGAAAGGTCTTAGCGGAGCTATGACCAAATGGTACCTGAGGGCTATAAAATCGGGGAAAACACCCGAAGAAGCAAGGAAATTAGCCGACGAAAGGAAGGCTAAAATCCAACAAGAGAAACTGGAGACACAACCATCCAGTAAGAGGGCAAGAGAGCAATCTCTTACCCCCAAGGAACTGAGAAAGGACAAGAAAGCTAAGCCCTCCACTCCTCAGGCACTGTCTAAAGCCAGAGAGGCTGCTCCTAGCGTTAGTTACGCTGGAGCAGCAAAGATCATAAGAGTGGCTTTGCTACCAGAGGAATACCCTCTGGTAACTTTAACAACGGAAGAGTTGACCCATCTAGAGGAAACCCTCATAGAAGAAATTCTAAAAGGATGGGAAGCTAAAATACAGTTTGAAGGCATACACTTCAGGCCAGGAATGATGGTCCTAGACTGTCAAGATGGCAAAACTGTACAATGGCTACAGGAAATAGCTCCCAAACTGGAGCTAAACAAAGAAAAGAAACTAACAGTGAGGGTTGGGGAGGATGTTCCCAAACCTCACTCGATAGCAGTGTTCTTCCCTAGGACAAAACTAGGAGAAGAACAGAGAACCTTAGCGCTGGTGAAAGCGCAGAATGATGGAATCTGCGCTGAGGAATGGAAAGTCCACTCAGTGAAAGCGGAGGGGCCTGGGATTGTCATGATCCTGGGCATCGACGACATCTCAGCAAAAACGATAATGTCAAGAGGACATACCCTCAACTTTCGTTTCGGAAGGATCCCTGTTAGGGGCCTGAAAAAGGGAGGGGGGGAGGAGGATACAAAACGAGAGAAATCTCACACCTCCACCCCAATCACCCCCCCATCCATTCAAACGGAGCAGGCCCCTACAGCGTCGCCTCCACCCACGGAGATTACCTCCGAAAATACTGCTGAGATGGAGGTAGACCAGATCATCACAGAGACCGGGACTCCTCCTCCTCTACAGATGGAGCCAAGAGTGCTCACTGAGGAGGAGCTATTGGGAGAGGAGACACCTCCTCCTCCCCCAAAAGAATAACCAACATGGAAGAAATGAGAATGGCCCAGGTGAACATCCACCACGCTAAAGCTGCTTCGGCAGTAATAGCTAGGATGTTCACTGCACAACATCTATGGGCAGTTCTCATCCAGGAACCCTGGCAGTGGAAAGGACAAATCAAAGGTTTGTCCTGTAAAGACGGTAAGACTGTATGGGATTCCAGACAGGAAAATCCCCGTGCATGTATATTGATTAGGAAAAACACTAATTATCTCTGTCTTTCAGAATTCATGACTGGAGATTTAGTTCCCATCAAGGTAGAAATACCAATCGATGGGAAGAGACAAGAAACAGTAGTAGCATCGGCATACTTCCCAGGAGAAGAGGAACACCCTCCCCCTGACGAGCTACGGAGGCTAGCCAGCTACTGCAGCGAGAAGAATCTCCCCTTGCTGGTGGGATGTGATGCCAACGCACACCATCAAACTTGGGGAAGCACCAACAACAATAAAAGAGGTGAGGCACTCATAGAATTTTTGGTGAAGGAAAAATTAGATATACTTAATATAGGATCTACCCCTACCTTTGTCACCAAAGCGAGACAAGAAGTACTGGACGTAACCACTTGCAGCCAAGCCCTATACAAAGTTATAAAAAACTGGAGGGTTTCAGGTGAAGAGTCGATGTCGGATCATAGAATAATAAGGTTCGACATCGAATCAGATAGGATAGACCCTACACCGTTCAGAAACCCCCGGAACACAAACTGGGCAAGGTTCACTGAGATGGTAACACACAGCTTTAACCATACAACAGTGAAAAGAGTACCAAAAACCTGCAATGAATTAGAACTTGCAGTTAGAGAACTTACAGGAAATATAATTGATGCATATGAAACAAGCTGCCCTGTAAAGGTCCCAAAAAGTAGACAAGAACCACCTTGGTGGAATGCAGAACTGGGCATATTGAGAAAAGAAACCAGGAAAGCGTTTAACAAGGCCAGACTAGGAAGTAACTGGGGAGAATATAAAAGGTTACTCACTTCATATAACCATGCCATCCGCAAAGCGAAAAGAGAGAATTTTCGCAAATTCTGCGGAGAAATCTCCACAGTATCCACAGCAGCTAGATTGCACAAGATACTAGCAAAGGACAGATCAGATATAAACACTGCCCTAAGAAACACAGAAGGCAAATACACAGAAGATATGCAACAAAAAGCAATGCTCCTTCTAAGTACACATTTTCCAGGCAGTACCTACAACATCTCCTCAGAAAATGTGAGAATAGACAATCCCAAGAAAGAAAATTGGAAGAAAGCAGCTGAAATAATCACAGAGAAGAAAATCCTCTGGGCAATTAACAATTTCAGCCCGTACAAAGCGCCAGGAACGGATGGAATCTTTCCCATCCTGTTACAAAAAGGAATGGATATAATTACTCCAACACTGCTACGAATATACAGAAGCAGTTTAGCACTAGGTTATATACCACAGACATGGCGTAGGGCAAGGGTGGTGTTTATACCAAAAGTGGGGAAAAGAGACCCCACATCCCCCAAATCCTACAGACCAATCAGCTTAACATCCTTTTTATTAAAGACCCTTGAAAAGCTGATAGACAACCATATAAGAACGACAGCACTGGTAAACAAGCCTCTCCATTACTGTCAAAATGCATACAGAACAGGAAGATCAACAGAAACTGCACTGTACGAACTAACCAGTGATCTAAAAGAAACACTGGAAACAAAAGAAATAGCAATCTGCGCGTTCCTCGACATTGAGGGAGCTTTCGACAACGCATCTCATGCATCAATGGAAGCCTCCCTGAGGAAAAAACACGTAGACCAAACCACATCTAGATGGATTGGAGAACTTCTAAGAACTAGAATAGCTGAAACAAATATAGGAATAAACACTATAGAAGTTAGAACAACAAAAGGATGTCCTCAAGGAGGGATATTATCACCTCTCTTATGGAGCCTAATAGTTGATGAACTGCTCGAAACCCTGAACCGTTCAGGAATAAAATGTCAGGGATATGCAGATGACATAGTCCTGACAGCCAGGGGAAAATTCGAAGAAATCCTCTGTGATATAATCCAAGAGGGACTGAAAATCACAGAAGAATGGTGTAAAAGTGCAGGCTTGGGAATCAACCCAAACAAAACAACTATAGTCACTTTTACACGGAAAAGAAAGCTAGATCACATGAAAGTAATCAAACTAAACAACACTGTGATAGAAATCAAAAATGAAGTCAAATATCTGGGCATCACACTAGATAAAACACTAACGTTTAAGAAACATATCAGCTCTATCATTACAAAGGCGACACGAGCTCTGATGGTGTGCAGAAGAATGGCAGGAAGAAACTGGGGATGTAGACCAGAAACCCTGTTATGGATGTACACCATGATAGTAAGACCTTTACTTACATACGGAGCTATAGCATGGGCTGATAAAGCGGAACAAACAACCAAAAGGAAAGAACTCTCAAAAATACAGAGACTTGCATGCATCTGCATAACGGGAGCAATGAGAACATGTCCTACAATTAGCATGGAAAAGATATTGGGACTAATCCCCCTATACCACATGATAGAAAGGACAGCACAGAAAACTATAATTAACATCACTAGAGAGAAACCTCCAACAGGAATAAAACTGAAATGGAGAGACAGAAACAAACTGTGGAAAAACCATCCTTCACTCATGGCTCCAAGAGACGACATGAACAGGAGGTTTGAATTTAACCATAAATTCCGAATACATCTGGGCACCAAAAAGGAATGGGAAAAAGAGGGAAATAACTCCCTCAAAAATGGCACCATCCTTTGGTACACAGATGGATCTAAAACACAGGAAGGTACGGGGGCAGGAGTTTTCGGACCCGGAACCAAATACTCAGAACCCATGGGAAAGCACACCAGTATCTTCCAAGCAGAAATTCATGCAATTGAAAGATGTATCCAATTCAACCTAAATAAAGGATACAAAAACAAGAATATAGCTATCATGTCAGATAGCCAAGCAGCCATCAAAGCACTAAGCTCAAATACCATTAGTTCAAAGATGGTGCTGAACTGCAAAACCAAATTAAATACATTAGGCTCGCAGAATAAAGTCAGCCTCTGCTGGGTCCCAGGACACATGGGAGTAGAAGGTAATGAGGAAGCGGACACCCTGGCAAGAAAAGGGGCTGCCACACCGCTAATAGGACCTGAACCCTTCTGTGGAATAGGAACACACACTATCAACGAATACCTCAGACAGAAGGATAAAAAGAGAATGAGCGAACTTTGGAACTCACTTATTGGACACAGACAATCCAAGAATTTTCTAACCAACTTTGGCAAGAAAGAAATCACAGAATGTGTCAAAGGAAGCAGGAACAGACTGCGAATCCTAACAGGATTCCTGACAGGACACTGTAGATTAAATGGACATTTAAAGAAAATTGGAATAATCCAAGATGGCACATGTAGATTCTGCAAAGAAGCAGAAGAGACACCAACACACTTACTAACAAACTGCGGAGCTACACTAGCCCGCAGGAGGAAGTGTTTTGGGATGTACAATGTGACCATAAAAGAACTACAACCACTGAAACCGGGCCTATTAATCAAGTTTCTTGATGAAATAGGACTCACCGATGTGCTTTAAGCAGAGCACAGGGGATACAATAGCTCTTAAAGGGCGCAGTATACCATACCCTGAATTATTACATCTATCTATCTATCAATTGTTGAAAAACTTGAGATCAATGATCACGCCTCAGGTGTGGTGATAAATAGAACTGTTTGGTTTTCAAATGTTATAATATTAACCACAATAAATTATTAAAGGATTTGCAAGCATTAGACATTACAAATTCTTTTCAAAATAATGACTACAATGTCTGACATACAACTTTGTGGTATTTTTTCAACTTTTAGTATTTACACTGTTCCTAATTGACTATTATTTCAGATAAAAATAATATAAAGGAAATTTAATGCTGAATACAAAATTTTAGTAGTCCTGATGATAAATATTTGTGGTTTTTCAAGTAACGTAATATTTCTATACAATAACTAATAAAAATTGAAACTCTTCAGGGATTGAAGATATGTATAGGGACTATACATTGGAAGTTGTTGCAAATTTTTTTTTGTTCTATCTCTGGGACACCCTGTAGTTCACAGTAATATAAGTGAGTCTAACAGGAAAAACAAGAGAAGAAGAATAGACAAACCAGAATAATTGGACTCAAACCTAATAAAAATTAATTTTAAGAATAATACAACTAACTAATTAAGGTTTTTTAGTTGAGATAAAAAATCAATGGCACGAGCGGGATTCGAACACACGATCTTCGGCTAGATACGCCACTGCTATACCACTTGAGCTATCGCGGCCTCAATCCACTTGGACACTAACTTCTCATCTCAACCTCACTCAAAAGATCGTGGGTTCGAATCCCGCTCGTGCCATTGACTTTTTTATCTCAACTAAAAAACCTTAATTAGTTGTAATATATTAATTGGTCAAGCGGACCATGAAATTAGCGAATTTAAGAATAATAACTTACTCAGTTTGAAAAGGCCTAAAATAAATAGGTGTAATGATGTTTTCACACATTGTACTATGTTATGGGGTAATTTTGATTCTGGATTCCTCACGCTGACAGGTAAAAGGGTTAAATCCAATAACTGCTGGAGTGGTGTATTTGGTTTAGACTAAAAAAAAAAAAAAAGAACAATAATACATTCACTTTCAATGCAAAACATCAAAACTTTAATTAAACCAAAAGTAAAAATTAAAAACTCTTCCAATTAATTAAGGTTTTGAGTTGGATAAAAAGTCAGTGTCACGAGTGGGATTCAAACCCACGACCTTCGCTAGATACGCCGCTACTCTACCACCTGAGCTATCGTGATCCACTCGGACACTAACTTCCCATGTCAACCCCACCTTTTGAATTTTCCCTCCTTTTTGCCATTTTTCAAATGTCATGCAATCTATTGATTCTCGGCGACAAATGAAATAGAAAAACAATAAAATGACCACGGAGAGCTCAGTGAAGTATACTTCATTTTAATTCACTATTTTTATTCTCAGGGAAAAATGGCAATTTTTCAAAAACCTAAGATGAGAGGTTAGTGCCCGAGTGGATCGAGGATAGCTCAAGTGGTAGATTAGTGGCGTGTCAAGCCGAAGGTCTTGGGTTTGAATCCCGCTCGTGACACTGATTTTTTTTTATCTCAACTAAAAACCTTATTAATTGAATGATATTAATTGGTCAAACGGACCACGAAAAATTGTGAATTAACAACTCTCTTAAGTTCCACAAGCACTATGGAGGCTACAGATGTGGAATAACCAATATCAATGACTTTTTGACGATACTGGGCCAGAAAATATTACAAACATGTCCAAGAGTTCTTGTCATTGGGCTCCACAGAGAAGCATAGAAAATATTTCTTTCCTTAATGTACTTGACGTAATTTGTTTTAAATTCAGTTTTCTGCCTTTGTTGTGTGTGTATTTCAAAGTTCAATATCAGTTGATTTTTTATTATTTTTGGATATGGATTTTGGATTTTCACAAAATAATTTGGTAGGCAGCTTTGTGGTTATTGGCTTGTTGAGGCAATAAGGATTAACTTGTTGGTAACAGGATTGTTGGAAAAAAAAATGAGCATGATTATACAAATAATATATTATCCCTTAGAAGAAAAAAGAATTGCAAACAAATAGCAGACTTCAATATTTATATTTGACAACAAACAAATAGATAGTACTCATGCAACCCATATTTAATCAATTTTTTGAAAGTTAAATGTCAATACAAATATTAAAAAACTTACTTTAACGTAAAGAAGAGGAGATATCATTCTTATAATATTTCCCAATGATTGATAAACATTATTGACCTGATCATAATCTCTCGGTGATGAAATGACCGGTTTCAACCATCGATCAATTCCTTCAAAATAAATGCTTACTTTTTCCCTTAGCGACTGCCTTTCATAAATATCCTACAAGAAAAAATAATAAGGAAAATGTTATCGTTTTCAAACAAAACTCACTCACGTTTGAGGTGTATTTCTCTTGCAGGCAGGACAAAAATAGATAGAGCGGTTCAGCACAGTCCATCAAATGGTCAGGGTTCACGATAGATTTTATTTCAGCGATTTTTGAAATGTAGCAAGTCAGCTCGTGCATTTCTTTGTGGTTTGAATCTGGACACATAATACAACACCGGACCCAGGCCTAGAAAACATACTTACAATTGGGTACAAAATATATTAAAATTACGAGTATACCTTTACAATAGAGTTGTTGTAACTATGGAGAATGTTAACAACAGACGTTGATTCTATTAAGCAATTCAGAAATTTTCTGACAGCCCTGAAAATTAAATTTATAAATGTCAGGAATAGTTAATAAAACTTAAAATCTACCTTATATCATTAGTATCATTTGAGATGAATAAATCAAAAAGCTCTTTGAAACGATCGAGCTTTCCTGTGATCACTGATAAAGAAGCTAAAGAAGCCGCAAGGACAGAAACTTGTTGAGACGTGTTGAAATGATTTGAAACTCCTTTCAAGTACGCAATTAGCTCACTCCACAGTTTTTCAACAAACATTATCATCTCATGTTCTGAAATAAATAAGTATATATTTGCTGAAAAATGTAGTTAAGTTTACAAATTATTTTTCAATTAATTAAAGTTTAGTTGAGATAAAAAAATCAGTGTCACAAGCGGGATTTGAACCCACGACCTTCGGCTACCACTTGAGCTATCGGGACTTCGATCCACTCGGACAAATAAATTACACGACATTTGAAAAATGACAAAAAGGAGGGAAAATTCAAAAGGTCCCCACCTTTTGAGAAAGTTGGTGTCCGAGTGGATCAAAGTCACAATAGCTCAAGTGGTAGAGCAGCGGCGTATTAGCCGAAGATCGTGAGTTCGAATAACGCTCGTGCCATTGACTTTTTTATCTCAACTAAAAACCTTAATTATTTAAAAAGAATTTATTTGGTCAAGCGGACCACGCCTAATAAAATTTACAAATTACCTGGATTCCCATGGCACATGTTAATTTTGAGACGGTTTAATACGGTCAAAATTGTTTCAAGCAATCGTCCGGAATCTGACAATGATGATGAAAATAGATATCTTGAAAGCCACTCACCTTAAATATAAAATCCTCCAGTTAGAATTTTACCTTTGAGCAGAATAGCAGTGTAAAACTTACTAATGAATAAATGCTGGCCTAAATTTAATGAAGAATATGTTTTCAAGATAAATTCCATTTCTTCCACATACATTTTAATCATGTCATAACTTTCAAGCGGGGATAAAGAATTTACATAATCAACCAAAGGCTGGACGAGTTTTCCAATGTGTTCATTACTCTCAAGTTTTAATATAACAAAAGCAAATAAACCTTTAATAAGCTCATTCGAAACTAAACCTTTTGCATCTTTTATCACATTAAATAGTTCGATCATTTTACCATCCTAAAAACAGAACATTATAGCAAAATAATTTGAAATAAGTATAGTTAATAATTGTACCACTTGTGATACACCATTAGATGTATCAAGCATGAGAAACAGCAGGACCAAATGGTATTCTCCGGCCTGAGACAAGGAGCAAAGCTTCGGGTGAGAAAGTTTGGAAAAAATCCTTCCCTTTATGACATTCCAGTGTCTCGGTGAACCCTTCGACCTTTGCAAGTGGAGTCCGATAAGCCTGAGAAAGTGCTGAAAACTGTCCAAGACTGAACTACGATTCTCAACGTACGATTTCACCTGTTGGACCATCCCACTAGCCGTTTTGCTGAAAACTGAGACGTCAGATGAATGAATTACAAGGTCAATGATAAGACCGACCTCATCACAGCAGCAGTCATCGGCGAAGCACCGACCAAATAAAAATTGCTATTCAGCTTTTTGTAAAAATAATCCCACAAAGTGATTAAGGGCTCAACCTTTGGCTCCCAGGTTTTTATACAGATGAACTCAATGAACGTCAGACAAGTTCTCATTTCTGATTCATTTATTTCTTCCAAAACAATAGTTTTTACTAATGATTCCAAAACAGGATAGTTGCTAGCTAAAGCCTGTTTTAAATCAAGATTAGAATAAAATTAATAATAAATTATATAATAGCTATGCATACTCTATCTTCAACTTTGTAAAGTTTGGCGACATTGCTTAATAGCCAGAATGAAAAAATGGCTCTGGAAACTGGAGTGAAATTGTATTCATCTGAATTCAAACTGCCGACACATTCGTTGTAATATTCCCAAAAATTCTAAAATACAAAATATAAATAAAAATTAAATACAGAATGTCGTCTGTGACCAAATGTCAGTACTGTGATCCTGCATGTCAAATTAGACTAAAAAGTCCCTTTTGTTCAAGTCTGATTCTCAATTGAATGAATAATGAAACAACTGTATACTGGAGAATGGAAATTAGTTTTAAAAATAAACAGAACTAAAATTATTCTATAATAGAAATAAAATAAAATTGTTCTATTATACAAAAATAAAAAAGTCTCGATTCATTATAAATAGTCAAAAAGAGAGAGCTTTTTTTTTTAAATTTCAATTAATTAAGGTTTTTAGTTGAGATAAAAAAGTCAGTGACACGAGCAGGATTCGAACGCACGACCTTCGGCTAGATACGCCACTTCTCTACCACTTGAGCTATCGTGACTTCAATCGCCTCGGACACTAACTTCCCATCTCAACTCCACCTTTTGAATTTTCCCTCCTTTTTGCCATTTTTCAAATGTTGTAATCTATTTGATTCTCGGCGACAAATGAAATGGCCACGGAGAGCTTTAGTGAAAATATACATCATTTTAACTTATTAAATTCACTAATTTTTGTGGTCCACTTGACCAATTAATACCTTTCAATTAATTAAGGTTTTTAGTTGAGATAAAAAAGTCAGTGTCACGAGCGGGATTCGAACCCATGACCTTCGGCTAGATACGTCGCTACTTTACCAATTGAGCTATCATGACTTCGATCGAAGAGACTAAGCCAAAAGTTGAGAAAATTCAAAAGGTGAGGTTGAGATGGGAAGTTAGTGTCCGAGTGGATTGAAGTCACGATAGCTTAAGTCGTAGAGTAGCGGTGTATCTAGCCGAAGATCGTGGGCTCGAATCCTGCTCGTGACACTGACTTTTTTATCTCAACTAAAAACCTTAATTAATTGAAAGATATTAATTGGTCAAGTGGACCACAAAAACTAGTGAATACTTTTTTTTAATTACAATTAATTAAGATTTTTAGTTGAGATAAAAAAGTCAATGTCACGAGCGGGATTCGAACCCACGATCTTTGGCTAGATACGCCGCTGGTCTACCACTTGAGCTATCGTGACCTCGATCCACTCGGACATCAACTTCCCATCTCAACCCCACCTTTTGAATTTTCTCTCCTTTTTGCCATTTTTCAACTACAAACCTAAATTAATTGCAATATATTAATTGGTCAAGCGGACCATGGAATTAGTGAATTTAACTTTTTTTTAAATGTTTAATCATTGAAATAAAGAACTATTTCTACCCTGTAGTTCTAGACATACTCAAAATTTAAACAATAGGAGTTATTTAAAGAGGAAATTATGTTCTTTTGTGGATGGGTCAAAATTTAGCATTCAGAATTCTGCTAAAAATTAGGACGATTCAGTGTGGAGATTTTTTGTAGATATGGGAGGTGTGTGAAATTAGACTAAATTGATATAAGTTGTATAAAGAACAGGTCGAAACTGTTAACTCTTGTGGGGTGTAAATAAAGTAAAGACAATTCTAACCTTCATAAACACGATTTTCAAAAACGTAGGGAACTAAAATTCTCTGATATATTAATGATGGATGGACCAATATTGAGAACTTTATGCAGTTAAAAGTTAAGTGAGGGGAAAGGATATTGTGAAACAATTGAGAATGCAAGAACGACCATTTTTTAAAATTGTTCAGGGAAAAATTGGCATTGAGCTGAAATTCATTCCATAAATAGGGGCCATGATATTGTGAATCTAATAATCTCTGCAGTTTTCAGGACGATTTAGTGTAGACATTTTTTGTAGATGTAGGAGGTGTGTAAATTTAGGTCAACTGAAGTCCATATAGTTAGGAATGAAAGAAATGACTTTACCGTTAAAATAGTGTGCAGGGATTCAATTAAATTATAGCTTTGAATGCCCCAAGCCTCATTCAAAATAGTAAATAAATAGACCAAATTGAATCTATCACATAGTTAGCAGTGTGAAACTTCCATTTGAGATGGGCACTGGAAGAAAGTTTAGGTGTTAAATTCCCAAATATTTCAATGCAAGAAGGCTTAAAATTATGGTTCTTATATATATATTGAATTGAAATATTGAATTTTGCATTGAAATATTTGGGAATTTAACTATATATAAGTTACGCCTGCACGAAACCACTAATGCAGCAACAAACGATTCTTCCCATATACAAATTCCGAGAATAGATTATAAGCATAAAATGTAGATTGTATTGTATGACCCCTTTCTTTCGCAGATCCTCTCGGGACTCCGAACAGTACAGACACTTTAAATTAGAATCCTTGTGTAAAGTTGTAGTTTATATTGAATAAACCTTATTTTTAAAAAATTAGTTTCTTACATCGAAACCATAACTTATATATATCTTATACTTCTTAGGTTGATTGAATTATTCCAATTATTACATTAGGTCTCTAAGGCTTATTTTGGATCTTCATGGTCCAAGCACCTCAATTTTTAGAAGCATTTTGTTTTTTATTATGTTTAAATTTTATATAATAGTCATTTTGTGTACAATTTTCATTATTTGTTAACAGAACCATACTAACCATTTTTTAAATCAAAATATAAAATTTTTAGCTGATAAACTTTAATTTTACACTTGTGATAATTGACCTTTCAGAAATTAAGTAAATATGTTTATAGTTAATTAGTAGGGGCAACTCTTTAAACAAATCTTACTTAGTTAAAATAAAAACTGTGGAAACCATAAAAGTTTATGTTCTAACTGACTTTACATTTTGTTTCATAAAAGTTACAATAAAAAATTAACCTCATAGGATTTGTAATGCCCTTTCTGTTGATATAATCTAATGTATAGAAGGATTAAAGTTTTATGAGATACTGAGACTAAACTTGTAAAATGTAGAAGTAACACGGATAAAATTGAGAATCATTTGGATAATAGGAACTTTTTAGTAACCTGAAGTATCGGTGTCTTCTTGCAGGACACCCTGTCTATTAAAAAAAAAAAAAAAAAAAAAAAAAAAAAAAAAAAAAAAAAAAAAAAAAAAAAAAAAAAAAAAAAAAAAAAAAAAAAAAAAAAAAAGTTAGAGATTAGTGAAAACTTTACTTTTTCAATGTTGTTTGTGTAAAGGGTGTCAGCGACGAGTTGTAGCATGATCCACATTTCCTGAATACACGTGCAACTGAACGGCGATTTTCTACACAATTCTGAACATGATGTCTGCAATAATAAAAATTATCAACTGATTTATAATTATTTATTGACTAAAAAACTTACTTTTTCATATCTTTTCACAGACAGTTCTAAAAGTTCCCTTATTAAGTTTTTAATTTCAGTACTGACTTCGTTCGTAAGTTCAGGCTGTTCATAGAATTGTGAGTCTCTGTTCTCTATATTCCTCTTGGCATATTGGACTTTGAGAATCAAATTAAGGTACAACCACCTGAGGTCTAGGTGCATGTGCAACAGGTGATATGCTGGTTGGCTGCTCTATAAGAAAAAAAAAATGTTCAAAACCGTCATAAATTTTTTTTCCATCACCATTACTTTATTTCCAGAAGAATGACAGCCGTGCAAATAGACATACTCAGGCAGCTCTGTCAGCTTGCCAAGCTGGCGACGGAAGTTTATGAGCTTTTTACTCAGTTCGGGTAAAAAATCATTAAGAATCCAGTAATAATCAGGATGGCTGCAAACACTAATAAATCATGCCTAATTAACTTCTGTAAACATTTTGCTAAAGTGGAAAAATAAAGGTTATACCTGTCTACAAAATTTCTAATAAATATAAACAACTCTACGCAGTACTTTCTCGATAAAAAATAACTATTCTGGGAAGAATAACTCCAATTTATGTTCAGGCCGAGTGCATTTGCATTTAGTTTTGCAGCGCTATTAACCACCATTAACTCCTTGCTGAAATTCGAATTTGCAATAAATAAATAAAAATAAATAAAAAATACAAGAAAATTATTGTAACAACTTGAAATTTGTAGCTCCAATCATCCTGTTCTGCCCACCGAAGATAGCAAAATGCCAAATAATGTCTGACAGAAAAACCAGCAACCGGACAGAGCAGGATCATCGCTTCATCAAATTTAACAATTTAAAAATTGTCATAATTCCAAATGATTGTTTTGAAGTGTACCTCGCCATTTTGAAGAGGGCTCCTAACCGTTTGAGAAGTACAGAACCTTTGTCCCAAGTAAGGCCAAACAGATTTATGTCCTCGCACTCACCGCACACCTGGAGCTTTTCTGGAATTGAGCACGCCCAATTTTCACCTGATTTGAGAAACCCGTTCGGGTTGACTTCGCTGTATTTGACGTTCGGTTCGCCCGAGCAGTCAAAACAAGTGAAAAAGACTTTCTTGCTCTTTTTACATTCTGAAATCAAATATGTAAAAAAGAAACAGTTTAGAACAGACTAATGTAGTAAACTGGTTTGTAGAGAGAAAAAAGTGGTAATTTCTATGTGCCTGAAAGTCTGCCTTTTACAGACTTTAAATAGGCCTGAACAAACAGGTTGATACAAGATGTTAAATATTAATGATAAACATTTACTTGATAGTCTTGCTTATTCTGAAAATTGACCAAGACACTGTCTCCAAACTACTGGTAACATTCAATTAATTAAGGTTGCTTGATACGCTGCTTCTCTACCACTTGAGCTATCATGACTTCGATCCATTTTATCTGAACTAAAAACCTTAATTAATTGAAAGATTTAATTGGTCAAGCGGACCACGAAAACTAGTGAATTTAATAAGTTAAAATGAAGTATTCTTCACTAAAGCTCTCTGTGGCCATTTCACTTGTTGCTGAGAATCAAATAGATTACACATTTGAAAAATGGCAAAAAGGAGGGAAAATTCAAAAAGGTGGGGTTGAGATTAGAGGTTAGTGCCCGAGTGGATCGAAGTCATGATAGCTCAAGTGGTAGAGCAACGGCGTATCTAGCCGAAGGTCGTGGGTTCAAATCCGCTTGTGACACTGACTTTTTTTATCTCAACTAAAAACCTTAATTAATTGAAAGATATTAATTGGTCAAGCAGACCATGAAAACTAGTGAATTTAACTACTGGTAACAATTTAACTCGCATCCCAATTATTGAAAAAAGGGATTGTATTTCAGTTATACCAACTTGAAATAAATGGGCATGAATAAAAACAAAATTGAGGAAACAGTTTTTTATTTATTTAGCTTTTCCTACAATGACTTACTGTCTTCAGCCATATTAATAATTATTTTATTGGTTATTTATAGGAGTTAGAAATAACAACCAGATCATTTAATAAAATTGATCATAGCCTGATAAACATTGAAATTTTCTGTACACGTTAAAAATTTATAATTATCTGGCTTTGCGATTTTGCATTGGTCTATGGCAGTGCTTCCTAAACGTTTTAGTCAATGGACCCCTTTCTCAAAACAAAATCCAGGGTGAACCCTTTTCACTATATATTCAGTATATAGTAAATTAAAGTTTTATAAATTAGCCAATCCATTCCTAATTAGGTGATAAGAGGGGCATATCACTATGAAAATAAACATTTGTTTGAAATACTTAACATTATATACAAAAATCAAATTGGGCAGACGGAATCAATAGTTATGTAAAACTTGAGCCAATTTGAAAAGTAATACCTTGAACATGAATTAATTGGAATTCATGTTTAATATTTCATTGAACATTCTTACACAAGTAAGAAGATGGAAGTAGCACAACAGTATTTGAGAGAAAGCGCCCGTTTCCCAATTTTATAACAACGGATAAACCCCCACTTTTATTTACTGGGTTTCCTCCTTTTTTGCTTCTCTTTTTGCAGAGCAAGCACAAGAAGTGCTCGTGCTTCCTCAGGTTCTAACATGTACTGAACTCCCATTGGGAAGAGAGGTTGATTCCACAAGTTGCCTGGTGTGAAACCGAGTATTCACTGGTTGAGAGTCAACCGGGCAACTTAGCTGAACCACCAAACCGCCTCGTCTGAAAGAGGCCTTATTCTATATGTTTTTGTAAATATTAATTTTTCTCAAACTTCGCCAAAGAACCCCCTAGTCAGGGCTGGTGCACCGCCAAGGGGTCTGCGGACCACAGTTTGGGAAGCCCCGGGGGCTATGGTATGAAAAGGAGTCTTTCTTTCTCAAATTTTTTTCAGTACTGTATGATACGTTCCGCATTTTCAACTTGCTGATTACGGAACTCAAGTAGTCTTTCTGTCCAATCATGTGCACATATGCTTTACAACTACCATGGTTTGGACGCAGCCTGCCTATTGTGACAGTGCTATACCGTACATATGTTTTTCATATGAACCAAGGCCAGCACCGACCTTAGGGAAGATAGATTTATACCAATGTCCAGTGCGTTCTGCCTTGCTTCCATTTTTTTAAAAAATAGCATTGATGGCATTGTAATGGAATTTTTTTTAGGCTGCCTTGGCCTCATTGGCTTTGATCCACCAAACCTGGCCTAACTGCTATTTTCACAGACGGTTCCAAGTTGGATGGGAAGTTGGGTGGTGCATACTATGACAGTATATGCATGCTTGTATCACATTTCACATTGTTCCCCTATTTAGATTTCCTCCTTTACTTGCGAAACATATGCAGAATCTATCGATGTCAATCAGATGTTGATTTGCTCTGACTAACAGTTTGTTAATGAACATTACAGCTTCGATCTTACAGCACAGAATTAACAATTAAAATTATAAACAAATTAAACGATATCAGGGATAAAGGTAACAAATTATGAGCTCACAGGAACAAAGATCATAATTATTGCATTCGAGCCAAATTGCATAAAACCCATCAAAACAATTTATTGTCAATAAACATTCTGATCCAAGAATTTAAACAATAATGTCTAAGTTGAAGAAGAAGAAAAATAACTTTATTCTGGAACTGGTGTCCCCTAAGAATAATATACACGACATAAATAAAAAAAAGTCCCTTCTATGAAATTAAAAGTAAAATGAGATAGAAATCTTGGCACAATGTATACCAGTAAGGCAGACCAGAAGAGAAAATTACAAGAATATTCAACAAAAATATCAAATATTAACGTAAGGTCTCTGCTTAAAGGGAGAGGAGGTGATTATACAGGTGGGATTTAAAGGAGGAAAAGGAGGCAGCATGACGAATAGAAAGGGGAAGGGAGTTCCAGAGTTTAGGGGCTCGGGTCAGAAAGGAACTTTCGAAGGTATGGGTTGTATGTTGCGGAATGATAAGGTCGATTGGGGATGAGCGAGTGTTACGAGTGTGATGTGAGGAGTTGAATTGGAGGGATTGGGTGATGTAAGGAGTACTGGAAAAGAAAGCAACCTAGGAAATACTGTGCATGGAAGGAGAGGAAGAGCCAGGAAAGTGGGAATACAACATCGACACCCGGGATTCCCGTGGGGTGCCGAACACGAATCTTACGCAACAATTCATAATACGCTTCAATTGCGCGTTACCCCTACAAGAGATTACCGTATGCCACACAGCTATAATCGAAGAAGGGAAACATAAGGGAAGATACAAGGAGTTTGTGGGTGGAGAAAGGTAAGAGAAGCCAGGACCGACAAACCAGGCTGTGGGAGGCAATACAATGGTGGGAAATTTGGGAAATGTGAGGATGCCAAGAAAGGTTTGGGTCAAAGACTACTCCTAGGTTTTTAACCGACGAGCAAAAGGGAATGGGATGGTTATTTAGCATGAGATGCTGGGGAGGGAATTGAGGAGTTGCCTGGACCCGATAATTATGGCGGTGGATTTTGACGGATTGAGGACTAGGGAATTTTTAATGCCCCTTCGTTGATGGAGTTTAAGTCTTTTTGGATCTTAAGAATGGCCGAGTGAAGATCGGAAGGGTGGAACGATATATTTGGGAGTCATCGGCACACAGGTGATAGTTACAGGACTGGGTGGTCTCAGGCAGGTCGTTGATATAAATGGAAAAAAGGATAGGAGAAATGCTAGAGCCTTGGGGCACCCCAGATTTGAGTGGGAGGAAGGAGGAGGTAAGACCGTTGGGAAGGTAGACAGCTTGGTGGCTGGTAAGGTAGGAGTGGAACCAACGGATGGTGCTGGCAGAGAAAGAAAAAGATTCTAGTTTAGAGAGGAGAGAAGAGTGAGGGACAGAATCGAAGGCTTTGGAAAATCAAGAAGGACAAGAATAACTTATACAGGTGGGATTTAAGGGAGGAAAAGGAGGCAGCGTGACAAATAGAAAGGGGAAGGAGTTCCAGAGTTTAGGGGCTTGGATCAGAAAGGAACTTTTGAAGGTATGGGTGTATGTTGTGGAATGATAAGGTCGATTGGGGATGTGAGGAGAGAAGAGTGAGGGACAGAATTGAAGGCTTTGGAAAAATCAAGGACAAGTATCTTTCCGTTGCTACATTGCTAACTGGGTGGAATAGCTAGGAAGTTGAGTGTAATTTATTAAAAAACGTGTCCAAAAGGAGTGCAGCCTATGCCATGGTATACTGAAGACAACAGTTCAACTTTAATCCTAATTTGTTGTAACTTTTGTCAGTGAAATTAATTAGTAAAGATTGATGAAACAACTGAAGTAGTAAAAGTCATAAAAATATGACCAAACAATTCGCGACATTTAAACAGTTCATCCTCTAGGAACCAGTGGATATGCAGCAGTAGTCATACTTCAGAATTAAGATGATCTTCATACATAAAATCATAAGACTATTTTAGAAACAAAAGATCATATATTTGGAATCTGTTTAAAAACCAAACTCTGTTTTGTCACCAAGGCACATCAGTACAACATTCCAGTAGCATAAAAAAAACAATGACATAAATTGCGCATCAAAATTACCTTGTAATTCGGTCTCGGGCTTTGTGCCGCCGCATATCTTATGGACACCCTGGCGTTCGACCCCGGCCGACATCCTTGTATTCAGTATGCTGTCCTTAACGCCATGCCAGCATAAAGGATGGGGAGCAGCATACTCGACAATATAACCACAAATTGATTAACTATGATAAACAAATACAAAGTTTGGCGGTCATGCGTCCAAAATCCACAACCACGCAGATCGACCTGTACATACACAACTAGTAAAAAAATCATACACGCCTTCCACTTATTTTTAACAAACTTTAAAATATTTGTTTATAATTTTATTATTAAACGTTTAAAGGTTAAATTCATTTTTAAAAAATTCGATTTTTTTGTAAACCCCCTGGGTGTAACTCAATTGACTCACTCAGAAGAGTGGGCAACGTTAGTCATATCAAAGAAAGGGTGGAGGAACTCTGCAGGTTCTTTTATAATGTAACTGTTATTATTTTATGATTTGTTAATTAATTTATATCAACGTCAAAAAATTCTCAGAGACGGCGTGGTTATTTAAATTGTAAGTGTTTATGCTAATGTTTTTTTTTTAAACTTATTTTGTTAACCAAATTGACCGGGCGGCTTGAAAGTGTTTCACCTTTTAAGTACCAAATTCAAAAACGTTATGAAATTTATGTTTAATGTTACATTCAATTTGGCCCGGCCTTTCTGCACTCTTCAGACACGCATTTATTAAATAAAAAAAGGACAGGTTTTTCATGAAATTTGGTTGTTGATACTGGTCAAGAAAGGTTTTTTTTCCAACCCTGGCAGAAGGGAAACTCATTTTCCCTATTCATTATCCCTCAATAATTTCTAGATGAGATTTCAACATAGATTTATTTACAAAAAAAAAAAAAAATTGACGTTTTCGTCCTGGTCCTTCTATAATATATAAGTGGCCCACCTACAAGTGGTTCAACATGTCCACCCTTAATTCTTAAACAAATACTTCTAATCGCTATTTCTTTTTTCTGTATCTAGATTTATTATTTAATGGCTGTATCATTGTATTTTAAAAGGATTCAAATGTAGACAGAAAGGTTTTCATACTCTTCGGTGTCCAATATCATTTCATTTTATTATATTCACTAGTTTTCATGGTCCACTTGACCAATTAATAGCTTTCAATTAATTAAGGTTTTTAGTTGAGATAAAAAAGTCAATGGCACGAGCGGGATTCGAACCCACGATCTTCGGCTAGATACGCCGCTGCTCTACCACTTGAGCTATCGTGACCACGATCCACTCGGATACTAACTTCCCATCTCAACCCCACCTTTTGAATTTTCCCTCCTTTTTGCCATTTTTTTCAATATTTTATCATTTTACTATATTGACAACTTCCAGGGGAGTTTTATAGGTTGGCCAATCCAAGCTTAGGAATGAGAACCCATTGGATTTTTATAACTGTAATAGAAAATGGACGGATTATGAAGATAGAGTCAGTTTGGGCATTTCTTGAGATATTTGTGGCCCGAAAGCCTACAGATTTATCAGAACGCAAGATTGAAAATCTGTCTTATTTTTGTTTAGTGCTAAATTTAAGCAGAAATCTGGTGGTCTGGAGCATAAGAATGATTCATAATACGTAGAAACAAATGTTTATGACCAGGTGCGGTCTCATCACAATGGCGGTATGACTCATGTAATGTGAGGCTTCCATGCTGCACAGTTTTGATCATTTAAGAGTGAGCGCATTATATTAAAAACATACACTGGGATTTATATACTCATAAAAAAATGACACATTTTTCATAATAACTATGTGTAAAGATTAATAGTTGACTTAAAAAGTAAACACAACATGAATAACTTGTCGTTAACCTTTATAGAGTGCTATTAATCATTTTACACCTTTTAGATTAGAAATAAAAAAAAATCGGTTCAATTTCGACCTTTCTGGAACCAATTTGTCTAATGAGTTTGTTGTTTTTAAATTGTTTTCTTTGATGAAACAAATTTGAGTAAAAAAATAGATTATTAATTGTGGTTTTTCGTTGAGAAGATTCGTCTCACCCAGGCAGTTGCTTTCGCCAACAATGGACCGTTCTTGGTGTGCCACGTGCTACCATCCATGATGGTATACAATGGTTTAGGGCCACTGGAAGTCTCGATCAAAGAAAAGGTCGACTGCCATATGATAGCAAGAAATGATTATTTTCCTGCTTTTTCCACACTAGGGAACCGTCATATAACGGCTTCCTTAACTCCAAATGGTCTGTAATGGTGAGCTCTTAAACATTCATCAGGACGCTTTGTGAGAATAGCTTAGTCTCTGACATTCAGCATCAGGTTCTCTATTGCTGGAGAAGCATAGAGTAGAAAGGCTATTCTCTTAACGTATGAGTTGCTTTGCTTCAAGCCTCAGTCACACTTTCCAAAGACAGTCAGGAATGGTATGTGGTAGAATCAAGTCCATACGCATACCGAACTGATTCTCATACAGAAGGTACTTTTGACTGCATAACGTACATAGTTCTTCTGGATGCTATGGTTCCATTCGCTCCATTTATTGGCAGCTTTGTGTTAATGCATAAAATGCTGCAACCGCATGTACCTTGAGCAGACACCCATTGGAGAATGTAGGGATTACCACAATGAATTGACCAGCACTTTCTCCTCACATGAATAGAACATTATGGGACATAATAAAGGTGGCGGGTTAGACATTTTTCACTGTTTCCAGCAAACTTTGAACAGCTTCAAACCGTTCTTGTTGAAAAATGTGATTCTTTTCACAAAAAGAAATCTGGTCGTTTATTTACTCAATGCCTAGATTTTAGGCCTTCCCTGAGGCCAGAACATGTAATATGCATTATTAAGAGTAAAACTAGGATTTACAGAAATATCTTTTTTAAAAAGGATTAAACTAGGATTTTTCCCCCTGATCTGCAACAAGGTGGTATTTATCTGAAGTTGCTCACTTGATGTAGAATTTCTCAAAATGGTATGCAAATTCTGTGCATTTTTCTACATCACATGTAATGTTTTTTCCCATTACTTGTAGATTGGGAATATTAGAGGGTTTTCGAGATTCTCAGGAGTTGCTTTCCAAAGGAAATTGTCAGTAGTATTAATTTCTTTTAAAACTTAATTATTAATTAACTTAATTATTTTATTAATTAATTTATTTGAAAACTCTTATATATATGCTTTTCTACTGATATAGTCACATTTCTTTGGAGAAAGTTCACTTAACTCTGTTGTTGCCATTGTCTTTGTGATTTTTTTAAAAATGGTTTTATAGGCATTATATTAACAATCTAGTGTGGAATTGAGTCCCAGGGGTTTTGAATCTATTTGGTGTGTGTCGCCAGTTGTGCTTGTTTTCTTCTGCATTTTGGAAAATATTGTTCAGGCCTGCAATTTCCTCATCTAGTTCTTCCCGTCCATAAAATATTGATATTTCCACTGGTCGAATTACGTTACAAGATCCAGTTGACTTCCTGTTATAGGCGACCATAATTTCGTTCAGCCTAATCTGTTGACTGGTGCATAATTAAATCTTCTGTAATTTGGTCTTGACTGATTCTTTTGGCTTGCCTATCGTCACTGGGTTGGTCTGTCCTATTTCAGAATTTTGCCATTTTCAGTTCAGGCACACTGACAAAATTCTGAAATAGGACAGACCAACCCATCAAGGATTGGCTAACCACAATAAGCAGTAATGTCATCCTCACAATGGTATTTTGTTTACCTTGGCTCTCTCAACTAACACTACATACAAGGACTAAGGAGCCTGAACAAAAAAATTTTTTCATCATAAGTTTGGTTTTTATAATATAATTGACTTAATTTCTTTCTTTGGTGTAGGTGAGATTATATTCTGTTTGCATGTACTTCTATAAATAGATAATAAAGTATCTAGGCCATGTCCATTTTACTGTTGATCGTACTCACTCATTTCCTTATTGGTTAGTCTGATTATAATTTATCAGTTATAACCATGAAACTATTTTTAAACTGACGGCCTTATTTGTCACTGCCTTATCTTAAGTTGAAAATGTCAGTCATAAGTAAAATAGTTTTTTATAATTTATATAAAAGTAGTATAAGTTAATAATAGATATAATTTTTTCAGGGTCTAGTCCAAAATGCCGGCTTATCACTCAAATATATTAAATTATAGTCAATGCCTTGGTAACATGGCCGTTCTGCCGATCAATACAGCGCACCGTGGCCCTGCGCCGACCACATCGAAGGAGGACATAATAGACGAAGCCATTTATTATTTTAAAGCCAACGTGTTTTTTAGAACTTACGAAATCAAAAGCGAAGCTGATAGGGTGCTCATTTATATAACGCTGTACATAACCGAGTGTCTGAAAAGGATTCAGAAGGTGAGGTCGCAAAACGAGGCCATGAAAGAGACATACATGCTCGCTGTGTCGAAGTTTGCGATACCCGGGGAAGACGGGTTTCCATTGAATTCAGTGTACGCTAAACCATCATCGCCCACAGAGGCGGATCAGATGAGGCAATATCTTTTACAATTGCGCCAAGAGACCGGAACGAGGCTTTGCAAAACTATATACGGAGGTGACCTGCCTATTAAATGGTGGTTGTGCTTTGCCAAAAAGAAGTTCATGGATAAATCATTGTCTGCTCCTGGCGAATAAAATTTAAAAATAATTATTGTTTTTTAAATTATATAAGTTTTCATTATTACTGAATAAATTTATATATGTAATCCTCTTTCTACGAATAATATTAAATAAATATGCACTTTACACAGTTCATCTTGTATGTTTTATACTTTCAAACATAAATCACTTGACCATATCTAACAAGTTAAAAAATAATAATAAATTTAATTGTCTTGGGAAATCATTTAATATAACTGCAGGGAAAGAAGGAAAATGAAATACCATGGTGTTTTAGAAATTTATATTACATAACAAAAATTAAACACAATGTTATACTATGATGTTGTAATTGTATGAGGTGGCATATAACCAGCGTCACCGAAACTCCTTAAAGATACTTTTCCACCGTCATAAATTATAATACTCGTCATACTCGCATGCCTGAGAGAAAAGCGTAGCCACGCTTCAGGTGGTATTTGCAAAGCTCTAAAAATATAAACAGATTCGATGTTGATACATTTACAAAATTATTTCAATATTTTTGTTTATCCTTTTTACCTGCAGACAAAATATCTAATAACGTTTGCATGGCAGACTATTATTTCGTAGGTATCTTTTTCTTGGTGTGGACTAGCTCTGTGGAAATATTTTCTGAAAGCGGCTTCAATCCTAGCGCCATCCTGATGATACTGCTGGAAAGTGTGATTATTACGATCAACAAAATAAAACTGACAAATTTACAGTGGAATTCACCTCCAATCTTCCTGATCTGCTTATTACAGCTGTAATATTTACAAACCAGTGAATAATGACAAGAAGTATCGGATAAAGAATAAGAAACCAAGATGATCAGAGATGATCACGCTACATGAATTATTTGTGTTTATTGTATTGTTTAAAAAAATAGATAAATAAAAATAGAACCATGATGCAATTTAAAAATGGAAAGGTTTAATGGTGTCTACGAATGGATAAATCCGAATTTAACGAGAACATTGTTCTATCTTGAAATCTCGAGGAAAAGGAACATCAATCCAGGCATTTTTTTTGTAATGTCAGACAGTTTCATTAATCCTGAACAGCTTCTAAATTAAATTTATGCATTATTACTTGTACCAAAATTATGTTTAAAAACAAGGAAAGAACACAAAATAGAACCACGATGCAATTTAAAAATTAAAAAGTTCACAAAATTCAGAATGGTTTCTATGAATGGATAAATCCCAATATAATGAGATGGTTAAAAAAAAATCAAAAAATGGTTCGAGGTGTATTTTATTCAGGAGCACTGTTGGGAAAAAGTGTTCTTTCTTGAGAAAAAAGTACATAAATCTAGGTAATTTTTTGTAATGCATTCTCAGAGTTGTATTAATCCTGAACAACTAAAATAACTTTCTGCATTATAACTTATACCAAAATTATGTTTTAAAAAAAAGGGAAACAACAAAAAATAGAACCATGATGCAATTTAAAAAAATTAAAAGGTTTACAAAGATCAGAATGGTTTCTATGAATGGATAAATCCCAATATAACGAGATTTAAAAAAAAAAAAAAAAAAAAAAAAAAAAAAAAAAAAAAAAAAAAAAAAAAAAAAAATGGTACAAGGGGTCTTGTATAAGAGCACTTTGGGGGGGGGGGAGTGTTCTTTCTTGAGTTCTTAAGAAAAAACTACATCAATCTAGGCAATTTTTTTGTAATGGATTTTCAGACAGTTTTGTTAATCCTGAACAACTTCTAAATTAAATTTATGCATTATACTTTATACCAAAATTATGTTTAAAAACAAGGAAACAACAAAAAATAGAACCATGATGCAATTTAAAAATTAAAAGTTTCACAAAGATCAGAATGATGTCTACGAATGGATAAATCCCAATATAATGAGATGGTTTAAAAAAATAGTTCGAGATGTATTTTATATAGGAGCACTTGGGAAAAAAGTGTTCTTTCTTAAGAAAAAAGTACATCAATCTAGGCAATTTTTTTTAATGCATTTTCAGACAGTTTTATTAATTACTATTAATTAAGGTTTTTAGATGAGATAAAAAAGACAATGGCACGAGCGGAATTTGAACCCACGATCTTCGGCTTGATACGCCGCTGCTCTACCACTTGAGCTATCGTGACCTCGATCCACTCGGGCACCAGTTCCCATCTCAACCCCACCTTTTGAATTTTCCCTCCTTTTTACCATTTTTCAATTTTATTTTCAGTTTTATTAATCCTGAACAACTTCTAAATTAAATTTATGCATTATATGTTATACCAAAATTATGTTTAAAAAAAAAGGGAAATAACAAAAAGTAGAAACACAATGCAATTTAAAAATTAAAAGGTTTACAAAGATCAGAATAGTGTTACGAATGGATAAATCTCAATATAAGGAGTCCCGGCTATCCGGTGGAAAAAATTTAAACATTGGCAGTATTGTGTGACCCAAATGAAACAATATGCCACAAAAAGGATGCTTAAAATGTCAAAAATCCAGCATAAATAATCAATGGAGAAAAATCATATTTTTGGGCTTTCATGAGACGATTAAAAAAAAAAAAAAAAAAAAAAAAAAGTTTGAGGTGTCCTTTGTATAGGAGTACTGTTTGAACAAAAAAATCTTTACTGAGATCTTGAGAAAAAGGAACATCAATCCAGGCCATTTTTTAAATGCATTTTCAGACAGTTTATTAATCTTGAACAGCTTCTAAAATAACTAAATTCACTAATTTCGTGATTCACTTGACCAATTAATATATTACAATTAATTAAAGTTTTTAGTTGAGATAAAAAAGTCAATGGCACGAGCGGAATTCGAACCCACGATCTTCGGCTAAATACGCCTCTGCTGTACCACTTGAGCTATCGTGACTTCCATCCTCTCGGACACTAACTTCCCATCACAACCCCACCTTTTTGAATTCCGAATCCCGCTCGTGCCATTAACTTTTTTATCTCAACCAAAAACCTTAATTAATTGAAAGATATTAATTGGTCAAGCGAACCACGAAATTAGTGAATTTAATGATTTAAAATGAAGTATACTTCACTAAAGCTCTCCGTGGCCATTTCATTTGTCGTCGAGAATCCAATCCGATAACACGACATTTGAAAAATGGCAAAAAGGAGGGAAAATTCAAAAGGTGTGGTAGAAATGGGAAGTCGGTGTCCAAGTGGATCGAGGTGACAATGGATCAAGTGGTAGAGCAGCGGCGCACCTAGCCGAAGATCGTGGGTTCGAATCCCGCTCGTGCCATTAACTTTTTTATCTCAACTAAAAACATTAATTAAGTCTAAAATAACTTTATGCACAAAAACTTATTCTAAAACATGCACAATTTGAGCCCGGAATTTCATTGTATACTTTTTTTTTTTTAAGCATGCCAGCTTTACAACTTATTGTACTCCTTCATAGTCACATTTTGTGAGCTCTTTAAATTGTGCCAATGTCCTTCCATCGAAGCAATTCGTTTTCAAAAGGGTCTTGATTGAATTCTCTGAGACTTGTTGGTGAGTGCTGTGTGAACTTTCTTTGCGACCTCTGCTCCTCTTATGCGCCCGAAAAATCGAGAGGACGGTGTGAATCAAAACCCACGACCGTGGGATCTACTAAACTGAGAGCCTGATGCATTAACCAGACTTCAGCTACCATGACCCCCTGGACCGTTAGTTCATCAGATATTAAAAGAAGAATGGAGGGATTTGAAAAAAAAAAAAAAAAAATCTGAGATATTGTTGACCCCCTTAAAGAGTTAACACGTATTAGGATAACATACTTCATAATCATATTAACGAGAAAGATGTGGATTAGGGTAAATATCCAGCAGTAAAAAGGTGTTGATCCACAATTTTTTTTTTTTAAACAATTGATGTATCAAAAAAGCCTTTGATTGAAAACCACAATGATGAAGATGATGTGATTTAAATTGGTGGCAATCCCTCCCCCCCCCCCAAAAAAAAATGATGATTTTGACTTATTTCTGAAATATTTAATTTTTTGTTGAAGTTTATCTCTATTTTGTTTAAGTTTAGTGGTAGATAATTAATAATATTGCATTTCTTTGAAAAGGCATCTCACAGATGACATGACTATTACATATCAAAATGTTTATATAAATTAATACATACTAATATACAAATTAATATGTATAAATATACAATATTATATACAAATATTAATACATTTCTAATTAGTTACAAAAATATATTTACATAATGCGGCGGCCTCCAGGTTTTACTCGGAGGCTCGGGTTCAATAGGTGAACCCTCTTCAAGCAGAGGGCACTCTTCCGTCGGTACATCAGGAATGAATTCGTGGATAATTTCAGCCGTTTCTCTTGCCCTTGTCATCGGAGAATGTATCAACTTCGTATAACGGATTCCTAGTTCCTTGAGCCTCTGTCCCGTCATACGTGCTTGCTCTCGACCTGTCAATTATAATTTTTATGCACATTGAACATTATGTTATAAACTTTAAAATGTCATTAATAACCTAATTCTGTCAGCTTCATTTCTGACTCTGTTTTCCCATCTGTATGATACTGCCCGTGCCTTATAAGAATAATAAATCTTTTGGCCAGCTTGGTGTCCTGCCCATTTTCCAATCCTTCACGACTAAAAATTAAAAACAAATAATTTTCTTATCAAATTAGTAAAACATAATAAGTTATGCTGTCATTTAGAACTAGCATTTGTCCTAACATGTAGTTTTATTTTTTTAACGAAACCTAATAGCCACGATGATCGAAATCAATACTTTAATGATTATAAAAATTGTACGATATTGTCACATAGTTTGGTCCTTTTTGGTTTGTCTATTACATTTTGATACGTTCATTGGTGGGTAAGAGCAGTTTTCATTTAGTTAGGATTATTATAAGTACGTGAAAAGGCTGAAGAATTTTGTCATTGGTTATTTCCTCAATGTAAGGTTTTAATTATTGAAATATCACTACAGTTTCATTTTAGCACTTTCAAAGCTCTGGCTGGCTTACCCTTAATAAATAAATTTATATTTCGTACTATTTCAATATTTGCTAACCTACACTGAGGTTGAAATCCGAAGGATCAGAAATCATGAAAATTTCAATACACAGACCACAAAAAAAATCTCCTAATTCAAAAGATTATGAGAAAATAAATTCTGATCCTGGAAAATTTGGCAATATGAAATGAATGTTGAATGTTCAGCAAACTGGATGAAGATTAAAAATTGCCATTTATCATTGGTTAGTATGTGTGATTTGTATTTGCCTTGCTGGTGGTTCTGGAGGTGAGCCACAGCTCATGGAATTTTAATTGTTAGTAATACATAAAAAGTATTGTAAAATGGTTTGCCCCCGACACCCAATGGGTAATTGACACTATACCACTGTAATACAACTCAAAAGATTGGGAGGAAGTATGAGCAGTTTTGAACAAGTTGATACTGTGAAATAAAATTTAATTTTCAACAAACGACTGATTTTATGTTCCGGTAACCAAGTAAGAAAAATGACAAAATTACCCTTGTGTGGGTACCAGGGCAACGATGAGTAGGGAAATTTGATGAGGACACACTTATTTCCCTTAACCTTCTCATGGCATACCAAATTGCCAAAAATGCAGATCCATTAGACAACGGATTAAGAATATGTCCTCCATTCAATGGTAATGTAGTCTGGGACAAAGGCATGTAAAAAAGTTGACAATGAACGTTAGTAAATCTAGATGGGCTAGGACTAGAATAATAGTTGGGCTGCTAACTGGACACTGCAGACCAGGAGGCATATGTATACACTCTGGATGGCAGAAACAAGCCTGTGCAGATATTGCCCAGAAGAAGAAGTGGAACATGTCCTCCGTTGGTGTGAAGGCCTATGTAGACTAAGATTCCTATCCTGGGAGAGGATAAGCCAGAGCCTGAAGGATACTCATGGGAGCCCATGAAAAAGCTATGGAGGTTATTAAAAAGACTTAAGCTTAGTGAGGAGCTCTGCACAACCATAGACCAATACTGGACACAGTGTGTAGGTCGTAAAGAAGAGAAGTAAAGAGGCCAGCTCCTATGTAATCTAATCTAACCCGTGCTAGGTTACTTGCCCAGAAATCTCAATTGTTTACTATTGACTCCTTACTATTTCACCTGAGGCCTAGCCAGCTTCATATACAGCCATTTCATCCAAGGCTCATGGGTCAAGATCACGAACACAGTATCTATGAGGAAATGGGGTCAATGCCTACAAGCTCTTCCCGGCTAAAATTTACAACCCAGCAAAGGCAGGGTATAAGGACTAGCCTGTACTGCAGAATAGTAGAGTAAGTTCTAGTTCTGAGCTCAATGCAGTTCTTCGCACTACTCAGTACCAATCCACTGCCAGTGCAACAACATTCCTCCTCCATATGAAGACTGTATGCTGAGCATTAAGTCTGATACTACGCCATAAGCGCTTAACTGGAATCTGTGCCATTATATTTAACTGAGCAGTTTGAATTTTGAGAGAATTTCAGCGTCGACATTCATCAATGTGATGATTGCAGAACTGCTTGTACAAACAGTGAAAATTGTTGTACCTAATATGGGTTTTTAGTGAAGATGGTGATGAGGATACTACAAAGCGGGGTTTGTGCTCCCCAGGCACTGCTAGTCCTATCACTCCTCTGATTCTGGCCCTCTCCAACTGCAGCAATGGGTTTGCCAGCATTGGGGAGGGTTGTTTTAACCTAAGTTTACTGTGTCTAGTGCTGCTAGAGCTTATCCATTTCTCCTTTTGTTTTCTTTGGATACAATTTATTTGGATTTGTGATGGAGGATTCTGTACTCCTAAGTGCTTTCTTAAGTGGCAATGTCCTGTCAGGAGTCCAACCAAAATCCTGGTTCGTTCCAGTTGCCTTCCAGTAATTCTTTTGTAAGTTTTGCGGATGGCCCTTTTAAGAATCTGGTTTTGGAGTCTTTGAGGATCTATTTTAAGATATATCCTCTTTTGTGACAGGATGCTAAGCCACAGTAGGGTTCAGGACCCCCAAGTCCATGTTGGCTCCTCTTTGGCCAACATGTCCAACTTGTTGCCTCTATGCCCAGTGGCCCATGCCAGGGTTAGGTCATTAGTGTCACTGACTTCCTTCAGGGCCACTATGCAGTTTCAAACACTCTTTGCATGATGCTAGGGCCTTTACTGCTGCCTAGGAAGTTGGCTATCTTTCTGGGAATGTATTCTTAGCCTTTTTATTTCCCTGGCATAGTGTTCAATCACTACAATTTCAGACTGGAAAACTGTAGCAAATTTACCTAGATTTACCATCATTTCGGCCATTGGGTTCATCCTAAAGGCTCCAGCTCCCGAACTCTTGTTGGTTTTGGAACCAACAGTGTACCAGTAGGAGTTTGCCTTTGGCGGTGTTCCTTTGGCCCATTTTTCCCTTTCTGATTTCAGTACCTTGTACTTGTTAGTTAAATTGTATTTTGTAGTGGCATCGATCGGCATACCAAATATGGCATCTGCCTGTCTCTCCTCCCTCAGGTTCCATTGTTTATTTACATGGCCCATTGCAGATGGTTGTCCATTTATGATTATGTGGGCTGCTGCTTTGGGTTCTCCATGGATTAAAATGTGAAGTGGTGGGAGGTTAAACAACACCTCGAGGAGCACAGTTGGCGTTGTGCTCATGGCTCAGAAGCCACTGAGCCAGGCTTGTCTTTGGAAGCCACTCCGATTGCTTTGGCCTGCAGAGTCTAGGTACGTTGGATATTTATGAGACGAGCACACTTCCTGATACACTCCACCATCTTGAAAAGACTCTTCCTGAAGAATAGGCTAACCTCCAGCAAAGAGACATTTCCAGATTGGTAGATAGTATGCCGAGGCATCTTCGAGATGTAATTAAGGAGGAAATACGCGATATTAAAATGTTAATTAAAAACCTAAGGCTAAATTAAAACAAATTTTTAATATTTTTAAATTACTGAACGTTAAAAAACGTGAAACTTTGATTAATATATGAAAATATACCCAAATCAAGTTATAGATGGGCGGACTTTTTTGCATGTCAGTGTATTTAGTTCAAGCTTGATCATTGTTTGCCTTTAGCCTGGATATTATCTACTTAGAAAGAAATAATTAAAAAAATACATTTGTCTACTCTTTTCACTTACAAATCCCAGTTTGAATCCCATTTTCTCTTTTCGGTTGGGAAAGTACGAGGCCTGCTTTCAGCCCTGATTTCCGGCATGTTGAACCTGTCGGAGCAGTAGGCGACGAGGCCCAGGGTGCCGAGCCCCGTCATCTTCGCCAATCTCATGAACCGCGACATTTTCCCCTAAATTGAAATAAAGTCGAAAATACAAAATAAAACCGACAGAAAAGAGAATAGGCGGGTTTGGAACAAAGGGACGCACAGATGTTTACTGACCCCGGCCGCCCGGCCTAAGAGGTTTCCACTTTCGATACAACCGACGTCGATATCGATACTGGCACGTTTTCATGCCAGGGACAGGTACTCAACAACCGACATCGAACCAATAAATACCTTTTTTAAAAATAAACAATAAATATATTTCATTAAAAATTAAATAAAACAAAAACAATTTAATTATCAAAGTTCTGTTTTAACTTTAAACAACCTGCATACTTTTAACTGTACACTTTGTAACGATACCCTTTAACTTAGCCAGATTTAAACTTTAAAAACTATTTAAAAATATTAAAAACAGTAAAATTATTATTTAAATAAATAATAATAAGCAAATTTCAACAGGGTTATTTTGGTGTTGAGACGCTACAGTCCACTCTGGTAGGAAAGCTGTTTAGCTTACCTCCATGTTTTTAGGTTACATTTCTGTTTACCTTTTAACGTCAAAGTCCTAATGGTATTGTCATACATTTCAGACTTGAATATTAATTTATAATAGTAATAAATATCGAGAATAAGCCCAATTGTTTAATTTAAATGAGTTTTATTGTTTTAACCCGAGGGTTTTAAGTTTTTAAAAAGGGTTGAAAGTGTACGTGTAAAGCCGGCGGAATAAGAGTCATTCTGGTTGAAAACTAAAAAACAACACCGAAAAAGGTATGAAACTTTAATAATTTATTGTTTTAATAGACATGCACTAAGTTTAAGAAGTATTTGTACTCGTTCTGCTCAAAATAATACCCGTATTCAACTCGGAAAATACTACCGTACGTCGGTTTTAAGACACCTTCATTCTGCTGTACAGTCAACTTGATGTCCTCTGCTAAGACGATCAGCTGGTGCACTGATGGTCGCAGAAAGGAACTGGAGCAGGAGTGATGCTTTTACATCCAATGATAGGAAATATCTTTTCTCTCTTTCTCCAATGTGCAGCAATTTTTGTGCTGAGCTAGTGGCAATACTAGCTGCCATATAATCTGCCCAACAAGTAAAATGTTATTAATATGTTCCTTCAACAGGAAAAAACTGAAATGGAGAGGCAGTAACTATGGAAAAACCATCCATCACTCACGGCTCCAAGAGATGACATGAACAGGATGTTTGAATTTAACCAAAAATTCCGAATATATCTGTGTACCATAAAAGAAAGGGAAATAACTCCTTTAAAAATGGCACCATCCTCTGGTACACAGATGGATCTAGAACACAAGAAGGTACGGAGGCAGGAGTATTTGGACCCGGAACCAAATACTCAGAACCCATGGGAAAACACCAGTATCTTCCAAGCTGAGATTTATGCAATTGAAAAATGTACCCAATTCAAACTAAGTAAAGGGTACAAAAACAAGAATATAGCTATCATGTCAGATAGCCAAGCACTAAGCTCAAGTATCATTAGTTCAAGGATGGTGCTGAACTGCAAAACCAAATTAAACATATTAGGTGTGCAGAATAAAGTCAGCCTCTGCTGGGTCCCAGGACACATGGGAGTAGAAGGCAAAGAGAAAGCGGACAGCCTTGCAAGGAAAGGGGCTGCCATACCGCTGATAGGATCTGAATCCTTCTGTGGCATAGGAATCCACACTATTAACGAATATCTCAGAAAGAAGGACAAAAAGAAAATGAACAATGGAATTCATTCATTGGACATAAACAATCCAAGAATCTTCTAACCAATTTTGGTAAGAAAGAAATCACAGAATGTGTCAAAGGAAGCAGGAACAGACTGCGAATCCGAACAGGACACTGCAGAATAAATGGACACTTAAAGAAAATTGGAACAATCCAAGGTGGCACATATAGATTCTGCAAGGAGGCAAAAGAGACACCAACACATTTACTAACAAACTGCAGAGCTACATTAGCCCACAGGAGGAAACGTTTTGGGCTGTATCAGATTGCAGCAGCGACATTCAATGGCCTGATACTTCTAAAAAGAATTGAGTCCATTGACTGAACTAAGGAACTAGGAAGGCACAATAAGCCAGAAGGCTGCAGTGCCTGGGGAGAGCAAACCCTGCTTCCTAGTATCCTTTTTCACTATACCATACCATGGGGGGGGCAGGTACTTCTAAGTGTGAATGTCATGTACCAGCTCCTTTTTCATTTAGCTTTATACCAGTTTGTTGGTCTTGGGTTGCTTCTGCTGCAAGGCAATGTGAGTCGAGGATTGCAGTGTCACCCGTGAAGGTCATGATGCAGGTGTTAAGGTTAGAGGATCGGTCCTAGGATACTCCCTTGGGGAACATTGGACATGATGTCAGAAAATTCAGAGCTGATTCTCACCATTGGGTCTGACCATTTTGATATCATTAGTCTCTTGAAATATGTAATAGTATCGGTTGTTACTTGGTAAAATTTTCACAGTTTACCATTCACTTGAGGTTTGAAACATCCAAGTACATTGTGCATCCCCAGACCATTGGTGATCCTCTCTCACAAAAATCTCTTTTGCCTGTTTCTTTCCCTATTCCTCCTGGAATGATTTCAGAAAGCTTTTAACATTTTGTCATTCTAAAGATTTGACATTTCCGATCATCCTGGCCTGTCTATCATCACTGTTTACAAGTTAATCGAAGTTTCTCAGGCCTTCAGTTAAAAGTTGGTTGGTCTATTTGCCAACTATCTGTAAATTATACAGTAAAAACAGGTTTAGATCCCTTATTACCAAATTTTATCTGATTACTGTCCCTTTTTGTCCGAATATGATTTGTGTAGCGAAAGTCACACTAGTATTTAATTTATTTAGATGTATATTTGATCAGATTAGCTGTTTCATTGTCTTATAGACAGAGTTTTACTTAAGGATTTCTCTCATTTTGTCATATTTTATAAATATGTATTTCTTTGTAGATGTCTTTACCAGCTGGATATAAACAAATAGCAGCCATGTCCACTCCACCACCTAATGGTACTGTATCGATTTTTATCTATTAATATTACTGGATTTTTTTCACGATTTATAATTTTTTTTTTCAGCTCGTTTTAGGACAAGTGGTAGTACAGGAGGGACTGGTACTCCGAGTGTAAGTTTGGATAGTTATTTTTTTGTTAATTTACTTACATCTACGTTGGTGTCGTTTTTCAGAAGGACAGTGGCTCATCTCCTTTCATCACCACGCCATCCGGGCATTCGGGATTCGTACCGCAAAAGCTCGGCAAAGCCACCGCGAGTAAGTTGAAAGCGCCGAAACCGCCTGAAAAGCCTCTGATGCCGTATATGAGGTATCAGAGGAAAGTATGGGATCAGGTGAAGAGTCAAAACCCGGAGTTGAAACTGTGGGAAATCGGCAAGATCATCGGACAGATGTGGAGGGACTTGCCCGAAGAAGAAAAGACTGAATATGTGGAGGATTATGAAACAGAAAAAGTATATAATTTTTTTAATTTAACCCTTTTTTCAAATGTAAATTTAAGTGCTTAACATTATTTTATTTTAATTTTAATTTTTTTTCAGTTGGAATATGAAAGAAATTTGAAAGCTTATCACAACTCCCCTGCTTATTTAAGTTACATGGCTGCTAAAGCGAAAGGAACCACAAGTAAATCATTATTTTCATTTTTATAAGCAATTTAAAATTATGCCTCTCCAAAAAAGTCTCCTAAATTACCCTGGGAGCTACCCGTTCTGTATATTCTCCTGGATTTGACATCCCATACTGATGTAATAAGAAAAAAAAACAAAAAAACTTAAATTCACAATAGTAATAGCAGAAAGGACGGACCAAGGTAAATAAAAATGTGGGACATTGGACTTCTTCTTTCCACTTGACAAGACAGGGATTGACAGTTTTGATTGAGTCAACCGTATGCGGCGAAAATCTGAGTGTGCAACATGCAACTCAACGCATTTTGTCCAATCCCCTTGGCGTCAATTTTTCAGTCACGAATTATTTAGAATTTTTGTATTTTAAACTATTTCAAAATCCTATTTTGACTGCCTTTTCTTCACCAAATCGTGAATGAGGACAAATGTTTCTGTTGAACAAAAAAGAAGAAAAAAATACTTTTTTTTCCGATAATAATTGATTTTCTCTAATACTTTCAGTTGTTATTATCCATGTTATTAGTTTTGACAAAATGAATTTGTAAAGAAACAAAAAAATTATTTATAAAACAGCATGGTTACAACAATAAAATTATATATTTACAATTTTTCATTCATTTTAACTGTTAAAATTAAAAATAAATTCACTATTTTTCGTGGTCCGCTTGACCAATTATTATCATTCAGTTAATTAAAGTTTTAAGTTGAGATAAAAAGTCAGTGTCACGAGCGGGATTCGAACCCACGACCTTCGGCTTGACAGCTACTACTCTACCACTTGAGCTATCGTGACTTCGATCCCCTCGGGATTTATCTCAACTTAAAACCTTAATTAATTGAATGTTATTAATTGGTCAAGCGGACCACAAAAATAGTGAATTTAATGAATTAAAATGAAGTATACTTCACTAAAGCTCTCCGTTGCCATTTCACTTGTCACCAAGAATCAAATAGATTACACGACATTTGAAAAATGGCAAAAAGGAGGGAAAATTCAAAAGGTGGGGTTGAGATAGGAAGTTAGTGTCTGAGTGGATCGAGGTCACGATAACTCAAGTGGTAGAGCAGCGGCGTATCTAGCTGAAGATCGTGGGTTCGAATCTTGCTCGTGACACTGACTTTTTTATCTCAACTTAAAACCTTAATTAATTGGATTAAAAATAAAAAGAAAAAGAAAGTTAAAAAAGAATATAAATAACAAATAAAATAAAAAAATATGATTTTTTTTTATTTGACAAAAAAGATGTTTGATGAAATTTATTTGTAATGTTATGAAATAAAATTTATAGTGTTCAAAATTCTATTTGATTTCAGTCCCACAGCCTGGAGAAAGCCGAGAAGAAAGAGCATCAAGTAAACCAGAGAGAAGGATTTTTATTGAGCCTGCAGAAGATGAAGATGGTAATTATTGACTTATTCTTCAGAAAAAAGAAAAAAAAAGTTAGGAGAATGTTTATCACATTGACTGCTTAAGATGCAATGTATGCGACATACTACCTGTCTTTCTGATGGACGCACAGCCTCCTCTTAATAGTTTTTAAGCTCTAGTACTCCCACTTTACCCTCTACACCTTTTTGTTATCAATACCTCAAGCCTTAAATCAACAGTTTAAGTTGTTCTAATTTTGTCAATTTTTTATTATTTTTTATTATTGTATGAAAACCACCAAAATTAGGTTTTCTAATCAGATGTCCATATTGTCTGCCACATTTTTTGATGTCACCTTCTTCAGGGAGATCGGCACTGTGTACTTTGTGTATTATAAACTTTTTATTTTCTGTAGATCATGATGATGGCTATTCTGTAAAAATGGTCGCTTATGCCAGATACTGTAGGAATCAACGTTTAATCAATGAGATATTCTCAGACTCTGCTGTCCCTGATGTTAGGTCTGTTATAACTACTGCCAGAATGCAAATCCTCAACAGACAAGTCGAATCATTGACGATGCATCAAGTAAGTCGGTTTGTTGTATGCAAGACGTTTAGTTTTATTGATGAAACTACTTATTTTAGAAAAAGCTGGAAGTTGAATTGCAACAAACCGAGGAAAAATTTGAAGCGAGGAAAAGGAAATTTGCTGAAGCAAGTGAAGCATTCCAAGAAGAATTGAAGAAGGTTCAGCTTTCTTTAAAAAATAAATAAATTAGTCTAATTTTTACAAACTTATAGCACTGCCAGAAAGTCGTCGATGAAGAAACCTGCAATAAAATGATCGAAAAGCAGTACAACTTGTTAAAAAATGAGAGGAACAGACTTTCAGTCTTAAATTCAGGAGTTTCTGCCGGCCTGACACCAGTACCCCCTGCTGCTGTCGTTACAAGTACGACAAATGGCCTCGAACCGTCTCAAGCAGTTGAAACTGGGCCAACGTTGCCTACGCCTCAACCGAGCACAGACGACCAACAGGACGTAAGGATTTAAAATTTAAATCAAAATCTTGAATAGATTGTTTAAAAGTTGTAAAAACAATTTTCTGGTACTTTAAAAATTAACTCCTATTTTTGACAGGCTGAATCTCAGTCAACGAATGATGAAGTAAGTCAAGAAGGCACAGAAGGAAGTACAACTGGAGGTAAACTAACACAACACGGTAGTGATTTTTGTTAAATTTAATGATATAATTTCAATTTCAGCCGAGGATCCAGAAATGTCCATTGACTCTGCCGATCAGACTACTCAATAATAAATCATAATTTTTTTCATTAAGCAATGTTGTAATTTTGCTGATTTTTTATTTGGTACTGTATAATTACTGTATTTAAAAATACATTTTTTGATTTATATTTTAAATTATCTTTTATTATGTATTCAATTAAATTCTGAAACCATTCATAATTTTAGATGTTGGTTTATTTTGTACCCTTTCTTTTCTTCAACACAATCTGATTTTAAGTATCCATCCCATCCTAACCTCAATGGAGCTAAGACCCATGACCGTCCCTTCCACCCAATGCAGTGCCCTTATAATACCTAGTACATTGCTAATCCTTCATTCCTACCTAACAGAACAATTCTTCTGAATATGTCCACGGGATTATTGTGTAGTACTCTGTGAGCAGGAGTGCCACAAGGCAGGGTGCTTGGACCTTTCCTGTTTTTTATTTATATGTAAAAGGTACAATGTTATGGAGTTAATCTGACAAGCATATACAAACATAATAAAAACCTTAATCTAAATGAGTTATTAGTTGGCAGAAATGTTGGTTGCAACTTAAATACAAAATAGTAAACTAGAATAGAATAGAAAAATTATAAATAATTTATAAAAAGACTGTCTTGAAAAAATATCCTCTACAGAGCGGAGGAATGTGATTATACAATTTAATGCTCACATGCATTTGCTAGTTATTTTTAGTTCACTAATTTCGTTGTCCGCTTGACCAATTAATATTACAATTAATTAAGGTTTTTAGTTGACATAAAAATGACAATGGCACGAGCGGGATTCGAACCCACGATCTTCAGCTAGATACGTCGCTGCTCTACCACTTGAGTCTTGACCTTGATCCACTCGGACACTAACCTTCTATCTCAACCCCACCTTTTGAATTTTCCCTCCTTTTTGCCATTTTTCAAATGTCGTGTAATCGGATTGGATTCTTGATGACAAATGAAATGGCCACGGAGAGCTTTAGTGAAGGATACTTCATTTTAAATCATTAAATTCACTAATTTCGTGGCCCGCTTGATCAATTAATATATTACAATTAATTAAGGTTTTTATCGGGTTGTCCGGAAAATAATGCAGGATTTTAAGTTTTCATTAAAAAAAAAATCTATATAAAATATTCTGTTTACGTTTACAGGATTACTCATTTGTATGAAATCCTCTTCCAAATGATATTGTTTGTTTACCTCTGTAGCATTCCGCTACTTGGAAATAATTCAGTCATCCTTATAATGTCAAAGCGAGAATTTCGTACGATTTTCTTTTACGAGTTTAAACTCGGCCGAAGCGGAGCCCAAACGGCTAGAAACATTAACCAAGTCTGGGGCGAGGGTTGTGTTAATGAGTGCACTGTGCAAAGGTGGTTTAAAAAATTTCGGGAGGGAGATTTCAGCCTTGAAGATGAAGAAGGTCGTGGAAGGCCTTCCTCTCTTAATGATGATGTTCTGCGATCAGTGGTGGAAGAAAACCCCAAAACAACTGTTCGAGAACTTGCAGAGCAACTCAAAGTCAGTAAAACGACCGTCGCTGACCACCTCAAGGCGATTGGAAAAGTGAAAAAACTCGAAAATTGGGTTCCACACTCATTAAACGATCGCCAAAAAAATCAGCGCTTTGATGTTTGTGCATCACTTCTTTGTCGAAACAAAAATGACCCATTTCTGGCCAGAATTGTTACATGTGACGAAAAGTGGATTCTCTACGATAACACTAGACGTTCTGGACAGTGGCTCGACAAAGGAGAAGCTCCAATACATTTTCCAAAGCCCCCAACTCATCAAAAAAAGGTAATGGTTACGGTATGGTGGGCTTCATTTGGTTTAATACACTACAGCTTCTTAAATCCTGGCGAAACCATCAATGCTGAATCATACTGTAACCAAATTAATACCATGCATCAGAAATTGGCAGTAATGAAGCCCTCTTTGGTCAATCGGAAAGGGCCCATTTTGTTGCATGACAACGCTCGACCACATGTGTCACGTGTAACGTCACAAAAATTATTGGAGCTTGGCTATGAAACTTTGCCTCACCCACCCTACTCTCCGGACCTCTCGCCTACTGACTACCATTTTTTTAGACACCTGGACCACTACTTACAACACATAATATTCAAAAATCAAACGGAACTGGAAAATGCATTTATTGACTTTATCAATTCTAAAAATTCTGAATTCTACTCAGACGGAATTAATAAGTTACCAACACGTTGGGAGAAATGTATTGAGAGTATGGGAAATTATTTTGATTAAAGAACATTGCTTTAAAGTAACTAGTTTCTTTTTTTTTTGTTTAATACCAAAATCCTGCATTATTTTCCGGACAACCCAATAGTTGAGATAAATTGAATGTAGTTCGAATCCCGCTCGGGCCATTGACTTTTTTATCTCAACTAAAAACCTTAATTAATTGTTATTTTTAGTCTTCATCCCGGTACAATAAAATTGTTCGCACCACGAATACTGAAATCAGACCAAGTGGATCGAGCTGGGATGCTTGCTTTGTTAGATTTAATAAATTTTAGTAAGCTTAACATGTATAGACAAGGGAGGGGCAAGATGTTGAGTTTGGGAAACCAAGTTCTACAAGAATCCCTAGGAGAAATACCTCCTAGTAACCTTAAGGCCATCTTTTGGATTTTGAAGATGGAAACAGAATGGGGGGGTCATTTCCCCAAAGATATAGGCCATAGGGATAAAAAGGCTTCTGCACCGCGACCTGAATAGATCTATTGTGTTCTCCTGATTTTTATAACTCACTGGCCAGCTTCAGGTTGTTAATCAGCCTCTTTAGCTGACGTAATCCTGGTTCGATTGCAGTTGCCTTCCTTTGTAAGTTTTGCTGATGGCCTTTCTATGAATCTCTGCATGCCTCTTGCCTGTGGTATCATTCCATCAGGTTTTGGTCTCATTAAGGATCCATTTTTCTTTTCTTTTGTGGAAGAATGCTAAGCTACTGTATGGTTCAGGACCCAGAGTCCATGTTGATTTCCCCTTTGGCCAACATGCCAACCGTTTTGTTGCCTCTATGCCCGGAGTGCCCAGGGACCATGCCAAGGTCAGGTGACAGGTCATTAGTCAAGGCTTCCATGCAGTTCCAAACACTTGCAGCAATTAGCCGAGGGGCAGCAGTTAGCGTTAATGGCCAAGTCGGCTTAGACGGCGAGAATCAGGTTAATGCTGCGGGTACTGTTGCACCTCATCGGCTGACGAGTCTCAGGTCGTTGAATATTAGTGATTGGTGAGATTTCGTCGGGTTGACGAGTCTGCTGTCGTTGTTGCCGATGTCTGTTACACCTTCATCTCGCATGAGGGCCTTTAGTGATGCCTGACTGTCAGAGAAGATGTCTATCTTCTGGGAATGTATTCATAGCTTTTTATTTCCCTGGAACAGTGTTCAATTGCTATGATTTCAGACTGGAAAATTGTTGTATATTTAACCTAGGTTTTTATCGTCGGTTCGGTCGTTGGGTTCATCCCGAAGATTCTGCTCCCGTGCCCTTGTCGGTTTTAGAGCCGTCAGTGTACCAGTAGGAGTTTGCCTTTAGTGGTGTTCTTTTGGCTCATTTTTCCTGTTCTGGTATAAATACTTTGTATTTTTTTTTTAAGTTGTATTTTGGAGTAGTGGCATCGATTGATATGTCTAATATGGCATCTGCCTGTATCTCCTCCCGCAGTTTCCATTGTTTATTTACACGGCCTATCCTCGCAGATGTTTGTCCATTTATGAGCCTGTATGCTTCTCCTTGCATTAAAATATGAAGTGCAGTTGGTTGTGCTCTAGGCTTCAGTAATACAGACAGGCTTGACTTTGGATACCACTTAATAGCATGATTGCTTTGGCCTGACGAGTTTTGTCCACCACACCACCAACCCATATGTCAACATTGGTCTTTGATGCAGGTGTGTAGTCATAGGGTCATTTTGGGTTTCATCCCCAGTTTTTGGCGCAGAGCATTCTGCATTTCTCCCAGGCAATTTTGGCTCTCTGGGTGGTTTTAGTTAAATGTGTATTTCATGTGAGCCACTGGTCTAGTGTGATTCCTAGATATTTGGCCTTCTTGGAAAATGGGATCGGGGTCCCGTTTAAACTTGGAGTTTTATGCTTCTTATTGTACTCTTCCTTGTGAATGGAATCTATGGTTTTGTGGGTTTAATAGATAATAGCTCCTCCCTTTTGCACCACCTGTCAACCAATCAGCACTTTCTCCCTCTAAGGATTGAAATAGTCACAAACCTGGTAGCACAATTTCCTTCGGTTATTCACCTCAGTGGCTAAACTTTGTGGGTCTAAACAGTAAATCCATTGATACTGTAGTCTACACCGAACGTTAAAGCAGCTTTCATGGTTTTGTTGGTATACGAGTTTCATTTAACGATGATGCACAAGCGTCCATCGAAGAATTAGTATACTCCATTAAGGATTACTGGTGATCTTTTTAAACAGCCATATTCTAAGCAGAATACAGATCTTCTTAGCCTAGTCAGTCAACTACGTTTAAGTTTAACAATCTTAAACCTAGGCAACAAGAGTACAAATATCTGGCAAAAACCTTCATACATAAAGAATTCCACAGCAGTTTTCCTCTTTCCCTGCGAGCCTCCTTACACAGACCGTACCAACCTTCAGAATCCACAAATTAGCCCAGCTTCATCGATAGAAACCAGTTGAATGGACCGCCATTACTATCAAGAAGCACAAGATCAGGACGCTAAACCCGGTCGTTAGCTGACCTGGCCGCAAAGGACAACCCTACGTCAAGAAGCACGAGGTTTACTTCCTAAGTTGAGTGTGATAAGGAAAAACGGCTGTTTTGTGAATACTCGAGTAAATAAAATATTTGTACGAGTTATTATTGAGCGGTTATTAAAATCACCTAAAACTACACGTTCAGTAAAATGATCTAGAGCTCTAACAATTAAATTAATTATATTGATTCGCATCTGGTTTGTCTGGACCTGAAGTAAATAACGGCTTTACTTAGTTTTGAACTTTTGCCATACCAGCCGTACAATTAGCGACAATGTAGGTTTGTAATATTACGAGTGGTACTGATAGCATTGATACATAAGAAAACTGAGCATTTTTGGATTCCAAGGGGTTTCAAGGCCGTTTGAATATTTCAAAGCTGTCACGACCAGATCCGGACGTTGGACTTTTGAGGCCCACG